TCGAGCCCTGGCCCGGGAAGATCCCACGTGCCGCAGAGCAACTAAGCCCGTGAACCACAACTACTGAGCCTGCGCTCTGGAGCCCATGAGCCACAACTACTGAGCCCAAGTGCCACAACTACTGAAGCCCACGTGCCTAGAGCCTGTGCTCCACAACAAGAGAAGCCATCACAATGAGAAGCCCGCGCACCACAACGAAGACCCAACACAGCCAAAAATAAATAAATTTATTTTATAAAAAAACAAAAAAGAAATAATACCAATTCTACACAAAGTCTTCTAGACAATGAAAAGAAGAGAACATTTCCAACTCATTTTATGAGGCCAGCATTACTCTGATACTAAAACCAGACACAGACATTACACGAGAATACAATATCCTTTGTGATCACAGATGCAAAAATTAACAAAATGTCAGGAAACTGAGTCGAACAGTACATTGAAAAGATAATACATCATGACCAAGTAGGATTTATACCAGAATGAAAGACTGGTTTAACATATGAAAAAATCAATCCGTGTAATTAACAAACTAAAAAACAAAAATCACATGACCACCTCAACAGTCACAGAAGAATTTGTCAAAATCCAACATGTATTTCTGATAAAAACTTTCAACAACCTAGGAACAGAAAGGAACTTCCTCAACCTGATAATGGGTATTTTTGAAAAACCCACAGCTAGCATCGTATGGTGTTCAATGATGAAAGACTGAAAGCTTTCTCCCCTAAGACCAGGAACAAAACAAGGATGTCTGCTTTTTCCGTTTCTATTAACCATCGTACTAACCACCAGAGGTCCTATATAGTTCAATGAGGCAAGAAAGGAAATAAAAGGCATGCAGATTAGAAAGGGAGAAGTAAAGTTATCTCTGTGTATAGGCGACATGATTGTCTACACAGAAAATCCAATGGGATCTACGAAAAAGCTACTAGAGATAAGTGCGGTTAGCAAGACAGCAATGTACAAGATAAATGTATAAACGTGAGTTGTATTTGTATGTACTATCAACAACCAGAAATTAAAATTTATACTAACTTTTACAATACCATAAAAATATGAAATGCTTTAGGGATAAATTTCACAAAAGATGTACAAGACCCGCACAGCGGAACTAGAAAACATTGCTGAGACCTAACTAAGCGAGAGCTGTCCCTTGTGGTCAACTGGGGGGTTCAGTGTTGTCAAGATAGCAGCTCTCCCCACGCTCACCTACAATTACACATAATCCAAACCAAAATCCTAGGAGGCTTCTTTGCAGAAATTGGCAAAGAGATTCTAAAATTCATATGGAAATATAATGGACCTAGAATACCCAAAACAAGTTTACCCAAAAAAGGATAAACCTGCAGGGCCAGCGCTCCAGACTTTGAGACTTAGGACACCCACACTCACAGGGACAAGGACTTCTGACACAGGAGCAAAGGCAGTTTGCTGGAGAAGACAGACGCCTCAACACATGGCATTGGACCAACTGGACCTCCACAGGGAAGACAGTGAACTTGGATTTATACCTCACAGCAAATACAAAAATTCACCTCAAAACAGACAACAGACCTAAATGTAAAACCTAAAACGCTGCAAGAAGGAAATACAAGGGAGAATCTTTACCACCTTAGATTAGGCAAAGACTTCTCAGAGAGACACTAAAAGCACAATCCATAAAAGACCAAACTGATACAAAGACTTCATCAAAATTTAAAACGTCTGCTCTCTGAAAGCCATAGTTAAGAGAATCAAAAGACAAGCTGCAAACTGGGAGAACATATTTGCAAGGCAAACACCTGGTATACGATGCATGCTCAGAACACGTAATAAACTCAAACACTCGATAATAAGAAAATAAACACCACCATAAAAAAAAAGCAGAAGATCTGAACACACACTTCATTAAAGAAGGTGTATGGAATGGCAACGGGCACAAGAAAAGATACCTAATATCGTTAGGGAAATGCAAATTAAAACCGTAGGGAAATTCCACTACTCACCTACTAGAATAGCAAAAATTAAAAAGACTGACAATACCCAATGTCAGCAAGCACACGGAGCAGCTGGAACGCTCACATACCACTGGCAGAGAGGCAACACGGTGAAGCCATTTGAAAAAGTTAGGAAATGTCTTGTAAAGTTAAACACACACTTTCCATTTTACTGAGAACCTACTTCTAGATGTTCATCCGAGAGAAATGAGAATTTTTGTCCACACAAAGACTTACCCATGAATGTCTGCAGCAGCTTTATTCATAACCCAAAACTAGACACCCAGACGTCCATTACCTCAGGATAACTAATTGGTGGTCCCCAGAGTACTCAGCAACAAAGAAACGAATTACTGTCACGACGCATGCATGTGCCCAACTCACAAGCCCTACCCTAAGCGAAAGGAGCTAGGCACAATTGCACGGTTCCACTGACATGAGACTCTGAAGATGGCAAAACATACCGACACAAGGCACATCAGTGACTGCCAAGGACTGGGGGTTAGGGCACAGGACAGGACCCACTGCAAAGGGGCCTCAGGGAACTTTTCGGGGTGACAGAAACATTCTGTATCTTGACTGGTGGTTATACAATTGGATACATTTGTTAAAACTTGTTGAAGTACATATTCTACACCGTAATTAAGTCGATTAAACAATACAATAACCTCACACAAACTTAAGACAAGGAAGGGACAGGTGTCCATCTAACTGTCCATGGTAGTCTTCTTTGGGTGGTAGGAATATAGGTGATTTTTATTTTCTCCTTTGTACTTTTTGTAGTTTCCATAATTTTTCACTTATGTAAACAGAAAAATGTAATCACTTATGTAAACAGAAAACAATTTAAGTCTCTTAGTAGAAATTGTGATATCATATTACCTAAAATGTAGATAATATTAGATCAGTTAGCGAATGTCATTCTTTAAAAACAAGATATCAGGAAAACCAGTCTGTGTGTAACTGAAATATCCCAAAAGTGAAACCTACTTTTGATCATTTCTTCTGGTGTTAGAAAAGGAACATCGTTATCTGAAATTAAATGTAACAAAACCAGTCTGCACATTTTAACTGCAACAATTAATCACAAAACACAACGAAAAGGGGAAAATCCACATTAACATGTCAAACTGTAATAAGAGTTTCATATATAACATAATAGAATTATAATAAGTTTGCCGCATATTTGGAAAATATTAGAAGTCATGTGACTCTTACAAAGGCATTTCTCTCCTGTAATGGGTTAACTTTAAATACCCTTCTAGACAGCTGAGGCCTGAAAATGAAATAAAAATCCCACAACCACCAGAAACGGAAAACACTCCTCGACTTGGGACACGCTGCCACCGAACTCCTACTGTTCTTGTTGCAGGCAAAGAGTCGATTTCTATTATCCCCTTCATTACTGACTCTGAAACAACACCGAGGAGCACAAGATCCACGTCTGGGTCACATTTCACAGGAGTTGGATAATTGTGCTATTTAGACACTATAAGAAACAATCAGGTAAGTGAAAAACCGGACCCTGGCCCCCTCAGGTCTAAAAGTTCTCCCTAAGAAAACTGCGCGCTTACATCTCAGTGAGAATTCTAACGAGCTCTGCTTTCTGCACATGTGGAGCCTTACCTGGTAGAGCTCTTCCAGGTTATATCTGATGGACGTACTACTCTGTATGGCTCTCACTGCTTCATGAAGTTTCTGCCAGGTGTCCTGAGTGTAGTTGTCAGGCAATTTAGGTCTGTCTGTAAATGCAGATGGAGTCAGTGGGTAACGGCATCCATGCTAAGAATCACACATCTTTAAAAAACTATTCCACAAAAAAAGTCCTTAAAAGACACACAGGTAAGGAGCGCAAAAATTAGGTTTTCCCAATACAAGTACCACATTTATAAATTTCTTGGGTTACAGACTATGCAACCATTCCATCTTCGTTTGGCTAAACAAATACGTCTAGTACTGATACTTAGAATAAGCACATGTAGGAATCATACAAATCTTAACAGTATTCCTTTACTTAACAAGTGGGTTTCACAAACGTATAAACGTGGAATAGTTAAGCCCTCTACAACATTTAAAGTTGACTGAAACTACTCCAAGCTGGGAGGAAGGTGAAGAATAAGCTTGTAACTGGTGTGTCTGCATCGAAGACGCCTGCTTTGAGACAGTGACAGCGACAGAGCTGGTGAGAAGTGGAGCAAGTAATTAAATTACATCACGAAGAGCTTCAGTCCTGCTACTCGGTCCGGCTCGGCCGTGCGAACCGGGACACCTGAGTTACCTGGCGTCACTCAATGCCACTGGACCAACTATACAGACCAAGGGGAAGCCGCCGCTGGCCCGCGCCGCCCCGCCGACGTCGCAGCCCGAGCGGCCAAGGGGAGGGACCCCCGCCCCGCCCGCCCCGCACCCACCTCGGAAATTCTTGATCACGAGCTTCTTGGAGCCGCCGGCGGCCCCGGGCTTGGAGGTGACGGCGGCCGCGGCGAGAGACGCGGGCTTGGTGAGGCCGTTGGTGTGTCCGACAAGCGCCGAGAAGCTGCCCTTCCGAGGGGTCTCGTCGGCCATGGCCGCGGCCGCAGCGCCCCGCCCGCCGCCCGCCCGGCCTCCGCCTCGGCCTCGGCCTCGGTCTCCGCCGCCCGGCCTCGCCCTCCCTCCGCTGCGCTCCCTCAGCCCCACCCGGCCCAGCCCAACCGTCGCCCGACCCGGCCCGACCAGAGCCGGTGCCGCAGGCCTCAGGAGCACTCCAGACCCCGACCCGACCCAGCCCCGAGCTCGCGGGCGCCGCAGTCCGCGTCCGCCGCGGTCCGTGTGGAACCCGCAACAGTCGAGGGCCCGGCAGGCCCGGGCACCGGGGCGCCGACGAGGCGGCCTCGTGTGGGAGGCAGAGAGTCGCAGCGCAGCCCCCGACCTTCCTCAGCCCGGGCGCGCCGCCATACCGGCCCGGGGCTCGCACTCCCGCGCACACGCTGCCTCCGGAACCAACGTGCGCGGAAGGCGGGGCCGGCGGCGCGGGGCCGGGACCGGACCGCGTCCCGGAAGTGACGCGACGGCGGCGACGGGGCGCGCAGCTCCGCGGGGCGGCGGCGGTAGCGGCCATGGCGCACATCACAATCAACCAGTACCTGCAGCAGGTAACTTTCCTCGGCCAACGGGCATCCTGCCAGCTGTCCTCCCGCTGTCTTGGCCTGCGGGCCAGAGCTGGATCCCGGGCGAGTCTGTCCACCAGCTGCGCTGGAGCCCCTGGCCGCGCTCTCAGTTTAGGGGCGTGTGGGGAGGGGGGACAAAGTGGTGGAAGTAACGGGGGGACAGAGCAAGTGGTCCGGCTGCGAGCCGGTCTGTGTTAGCGATCCGCTGCTTACATCCTTTGGGAAGTGTGGCTCTCAGGGTTTTGTCCATACAGCCTGTGAACGCAGCAGCACAGCGCAAACATAGATACTTATGGATTCAAGGCTTGTAGTCTTTCCTCTGAGCTGTGCTAATTCGCAGAACTAGAACCGTGGTAATAGGGACAAGGAAAGGGCGAGTGGGCTTTTTAGAATTTCTGAAGGGGACTTCACCAGGGCTTTGCTGAATGAGGATGTGCGGCTGGGGAACGGGGAGGAGGCAAGAACGATTCCTAGGTTTCTAGCTGGGCAACAGATGAGCAGGACAGATTTAGAGGGAAAGACAAATGTAGTCTTGGACGTGTCAAGTTGGAGGTGTCTGTTGACAAGCAGGCCAAAATATCTAGTTGGCAGTTGAATATAGTCTAACAAGATTGGAAACATTAGTTGTTTGGTTAGTTGAGAAGTTGGTTAAAACGGGAATCATGAAAAAACAGATACATGCTTTAATCTTAACTTAAAGCTTACAAATATACATTCGTTTGCAGTCTTCTGAAGGACGCCTAAGACCTTTGCTTTAAGGATAAGTCCACCTTGGCCTTATCTTTGCAGAGTTAACATTTTTCAGTATCAGTTTTTATTTAAAGTTGAACAAGTACGTAGACATTTGAGAACCAACGTGAATATAGAGTCTCTCCAGAATTTTATGCTTTCTTATAACTTTTATCTTCTATATACTTGTATCTTTTGTATATTTCTAAGTCTCTTACAGTTTTCTTGCCCACACCTAATCCCAGGGTTTGGGGGGAGGGGCACCATGTGTGCCTTGAACAGTGTCTGAGCCACGCAGTGTGCAGTACAGTTTGTGGGCTGGATAGATGCAGGCAGGTGGAGGGGTGTGAGGCCGAGTGATGTACCAGTGATCGGACCTCCACGTTCTAGTGAGCAGTGAGTTAGAACTCGTGCTGGTCTGTCTGTCTCAGTTTCCTATGCCTCTGTTTCTCCAGACTACCGCTCGGTCCTGTTCCCTGCCTTCCCAGAGGAGCACTCTGAGAATCTCCTTTAATTGTCTGTCTTCTCTGTTCCACCCCACGGAACAGCGGGGTGGCTATGAGAAGAACAGGCATGATGAGTGCTTGGTGAAGGCTTACCGAGAACCAGGCGCTTTGGTACACGGCAGCTCATCATCGTCACTGTTTTCCTAGGAGGTTGGTCCATTGCAAGCCGCATTTTACAGAGGATGTTAAGTGACTTTCCAAGGTCACTGGGCTAGTAAGTGGCACATTCAGACTGGGAGTCCTGGCCCCAGAGTCCGTGCTGTGACACCAAGCTCACTACCTCTGTCAGTCCAAGCTTCAGACATTTCCTGTCCGAGTCAGAACCTGCCTATTCCTCAGCTTCCAAAGTTTATTGTTGCTTGAATCTCAGTGACCCTGTCAGCTTGGACTTATTTCTCACCTTTGCAACATCCTTGGCCAGCAGCCACCTGTGGACAAGTCGCCTTTCGTTCATTTCCCGTGGTCTCTGTGATAACTTCCATTAGCTGTTGGGTCTGGGATTTGATTTTACCCTCAGTAGCCCATGAGGTGTCTTGTTAGCTTCTTGGATGCTGGCAGAACACATGCGATTCCTGGGTCAGAGACCAGGGACCTTGTTACTCTGTGTGGCTCCCTGGGCCCGAAGTCCCACAGACGGTGTGACAGGCCCAGAAGGGTGGCTGCACATGTACCTGAGAGAGACAGAACCTGGGGAATCTACCTGGTCTAGCAGGCAGTAAGCAAGTCTGGTTTTTGTCTAGGGTTGGGATGGGGGAGACATTATCTCATTTCTCAAGGTAACTCGTCACATGAACAGCCCTGAGTAACGGCCCTAGTGAAAGAGCCAGTGGTCCGAGTCTTGTAGTGTGGGACCCCCAGCACGAGGGCCCAGGAGGGCTGTCTCTCAACAACCGGCCCGCGGCGACACCCCCTTTCCGCTCAGCACTCGAGTTTTCGCAGGCATTCCATTAGGTTTCTTTTTGAATTAATTTACCTTACATTTCCCCATGTATTTTACTTTAAAGATTTGTTGTTCTCCTTAGAAAAAGATCAGTTTGCATGCTTCTTCCCGAGGTGGATCTCTCCGTCACTTCTAGTATCTCTCTGAGGGCTGGTATTATTTTTTTTAGTGTGTTTTATTTCATTCTTTTGTCCGTTACACAAACTCTTATTTCACACGGCAGGTTACTTTTTAAAAGCTGTGTCTACATTAAAATTTTTTTCCTCCAACTTTTTTTCCTGAAAAATTTCAAGCCTACAGAAAAGTTGAAAGCATAGAATGGAGAGGTGTGTACCCCTCACCCGGGCGTGTACCCACCGTGCTCGCTCGTCCTTCCCTCCGGGCCCGTGCGCTTCTTCCCAGTGATCCCGTGGCCTTCACCTTCCTGAGCGTGCGCCTGAGACCCAGGCCGTCCGCTGTGTAACTGCAGCGCCTTTGGTGCATCCGAGAAACTGAACATCAGCGTGAACATCAGTATTTTCCAATGTAGAAGCCATAGTTTAATCCCCACCCCCCCCACCCCCAATCTTCTTTGGAACCTCTTTTTTGAAACCCAGGGTCCAGTCAGATCACATGGCATTGGGGTGCTTTGCCCTTTAGTCTTCTAGAAGAGTCCTCTTGCCTCTTGGGGAAGGGGGCTTTTATGACACGTGACCTTGTTTACATGTCCAGGCCCACGGCCACACGTGTAAATGCCTCACCAGCTGCCTTTATGTGGCTGTTCCTGGTGATTAGATTTGGCTTCAGTCGGCTAGTGTGGGTTTCCCGTGGCCTCTCCCAGCACTAGGGATGCTGACAGCACCACTTGGTTAAAGAGGCATCTGCCCATCAGATCACTCCACTGTTGAGGTACATTTTTGCATTGCGATGAACCTGTAGGCTGTTGGACGGACCCTGAAAACCACTGAGCGTCCTGTTCTCTACACCCTCTCACAAAATGGTTTTCCCAAGTCAGTTATTACATTATTACGTTAGTGGTTGCCAAGTGGTGATTTCCTATTGTTCTTTCTACATTTACTAGCTAGTATTTCATCAGTTAAACAATGCTTTCCTCTATGTCCCTCTTTTTGAAAGTATCGTTATAGATTACTTTTAATACCTAGTTATAATCCAGGACCAATAGTGAGAATGTTATAATTCTTTTTGAAGCTCAAATTGTCCCAGATTTGGCCACTGAGAGTCCATTCAAAGTGGTTTCTGTGGCTTTTTTTTTTAACATCTTTATTGGAGTATAATTGCTTTACAGTTGTGGGTTAGTTTCTGCTGTATAACGAAGTGAATCCGTTATACATGTGTCCCCATTCTGTGGCTCTCTGACATGTCTCTGTCCCTTTTTGAGCCTGGCCTTGCTTTCTGGTACAATAATATATACTCCAGGCTCACCTAGTTCTTTCCCTGTCCCAGTGCTGGACTTGCCCTTTCCCCAGGGAGCTCTGGTTCCTTTTAGTGGGGAATAGAATTTAGAAAACAAACCTGAGTGCTAGGCGTGCCCATTGCTACTGGGGAGCCATTAATTCTATGCCTTTTCAGTGGCTGGAGCTAGAAAATGTATCTTTAAGGAATCATGAGTTCGTGAGTAGATGATCCCCCTGTGGACCAGCTCGGAACCTGGAGAATGCACGGTGACCAGCAGCATCCTGGGAAGAGAATTTCCCCCTGGGAGCGCGCAGAGCTAGTGAGCTTCACTTGGTGAGGTCTGCAGTCCCTGGTCCAGGCCCACAGGGACGCTCAACAGGCTGACCTGGGGTCCGGCTGCAGGGTCCAGTGCGGGTGTTAAGTGAAAGGGCCAAAGGTTCCGGGGCGTGACACATTAACGGGGACCGGAGCGGGTGACTGGTCTGCCTGCGATGCTAGTGTCTGCTGAGCAGTGCATCAGTCCTTTCAGACTTGCCCATGGTCTGTCGCCAACCTCCTGTTTTCCGTCACACCCCCTGTGACGGGAACGTCGTGGGCTTTATCAGCTTCTCGGAGGCAGGGGCACTGATTTTGTGTATTTTGTGATTACTCATGATAATACATCAGCAAGTAAGCCTGCACGAATATCTTGTTCCTTGTTGTAAGGTAAATCCCCAGAAGTGGGATTGCTGGCTCAGAATGTAAGTGCAAGTGGCAAATTCTTTAGTTTGTGAACTGCCTTAGAGATGGTGGTGAAACTTCCCCAGTCGATGCTGACTGTGCAACCGACGAGGAGCTGGGTCCTGGAGGTGTCCAGGCCGTGTGGGCCTCCGTGCCTCCTGGCCGTCGGGTCACCGGGTGGGAGGGTCGCATGCCTCGCCGTTTCCACAGGCAGCTGCCCCCTTCGCCCTCCCACCAGCGGTGGCTGGGCTTCCGGTTGCTTTATGCTCTCAGCAATGCTCAGGGTGGTTGGCCTTTCGGTGTTCACCCTGCTGCTGGGCGGCGATGTGAGCACCCCTCGTGGGTGTGCATTCGTGTGTCCTCTTATGTCGCCCCTGCATATCTTTTCCACACCTAACTTTCTGTGCATAAATGATGCTGTAGTACGTGCAGCTTTATGCTTGGCTTTGTCTTCACTTATATGGTTAGGATTTTTATGTCACTTTTTGCTAAATATAAGTTTAAAATATCATTTGGTTTTCTAATTACAAAATTTCTGCTGTAACGCAGGCCTCCAGTATAGAAATATATAAAATAAAAGTCTCCTTGATCCCCCTGGCTCCCACTCCACTGGCCAGGGGTCAGCTGGTGCGGCCTGGGGCCCCGCATTTCTTCCTGTGCTTACATGTCATATCAATACTTAGTTTTTCTTTTTCTCCAAGATCAAGTTGCACAGTTTTTCTGCAACTAATTTTTTTGGAATTAACAGTAAGTATGTTGTGGACACTTTTCCATGTTATTACAAGTAGATCTATTTGATTCTCTTTCACAACACCCAGGCATCCTATTGTATGACTGTGACACTTATTTGGTCATCGCCTTCCCATTTTTATTTTAAATTTAGGTTGAGTGGAAGTGCTTTGAATTTTGGACATATGTGATTTTCAAGATCTTTTTTCTTCTTCGTAAGCTGTATAAGTGGATTTTCAAATGTTTCTCAGTATGACTGAGTAAAATTGAATACTTCACCCTCATTAATAAGCAAATAATAAACTGATGGTTTATTCTGCTTTTTCATTGTTTTTAACGGTAAGTCACCTGTTTGCCTCCAGGAGATCTCATCTTCAAACGCAGTGATTATGTGCTGGCTAAGGAGAGTACTGATTGTTATATCTTGACTCCTTTCAAAGTAGGGAAAGTGAAGTTTAGGGGTGTGCAATGTGCTGTCTAGGTTCCACTAGGACAGAGTGTTTTATTTTCCACTTAGCTCTTCTCTTTCCAAACGCTTCAGGTCTATGAAGCAATTGACACCAGAGACGGGTCATCCCTTGCAGAGCTGGTGTCTTTCAAGCACCCTCATGTTGCCAACCCACGGCTTCAGGTAGGTGGTGGGACCACGCACACAGGTGTCTGAGAGGGTTACAGGGTCACCACCTTCCTAAGAAAAGTTTAGACTTTGAGTAGGAAGGAAACTAATATTGCCACTCTTGTTTGAAAATTGCCAAGTTCCTTCACGATTTATCTAATTCCAATTCATTTATTGAGCATTAATTGAGCACTGTGTCTCAGAGTCTGTCCTGAGATCTGTGCTCGTTTTCCTGCATTTAATTCCCACACGACTTTCTGGGGTTCAGAGAAGTGCAGTAGCGGGGCCAGGTCATCCAAGGTCATCCAGCGGACAGGCAGTGGGGCTCGGGCTCTGCCCAGGCCTGGCTCTCCCTGGAGCCCAAAACCGTGTCCTGTTGCTGCCAGTGCGGTTTTGTTGGCGCACGGCCGCTTGCGTTGCACGCTGGCTGCCGCAGAGGCACGTGGGCCTCGCAGAGCCTGCAGCATTTCCTGGCTGGCCGTTTACGTGAGCATCTGCCAGCCCCTGCTCTAAAATATAAGCATTCTTCTTTTTTTTTTTTAAATAAATTTATTTATTTATTTATTTTTGGCTGTGCTGGGTCTTTGTTTCTGTGTGAGGGCTTTCTCCAGTTGCGGCGAGCGGGGGCCACTCTTCATCGCGGTGCGCGGGCCTCTCACTGTCACCGCCTCTCTTGTTGAGGAGCACAGGCTCAGTAGTTGTGGCTCACGGGCCTAGTTGCTCCGCGGCATGTGGGATCTTCCCGGACCAGGGCTCGAACCCGTGTCCCCTGCATTGGCAGGCGGATTCTCAACCACTGCGCCACCAGGGAAGCCTGAACTATAAGCGTTCTTGGTTCAGATGATGAATGCTCTCCAAGCAGTAGATTCTGTGGAATATATTGTGGATATGTTGTAATGCCCATTTCCTCGCGGATGGCCGTTACACTGTGGGAGTGTCCTATCAGGGACCTAAATTTTTCTTTCGAAAGGAAGTGCCCTGGGCTTCCCTGGTGGCGCAGTGGTTAAGAGTCCGCCTGCCAATGCAGGGGACACGGGTTCGAGCCCTGGTCCGGGAAGATCCCACATGCCGCGGAGCAATGAAGCCTGTGCGCCACAACTACTGAGTCTGTGCCCTAGAGCCCGTGTGCCACAACTACTGAAGCCCACATGCCTAGAGCCCGTCCTCCGCAGCAAGAGAAGCCACTGCAGTGAGAAGCCCACGTGCCGCAACAAAGAGTAGCCCCCACTCGCCGCAACTAGAGAAAGCCCACATGCAGCAACGAAGACCCAACGCAGCCAAAGATAGATAGATAGATAGATTAAATTAAATTAAATTAAATTAAAAAAAAATAAAGTGCTCGGGGTCCTGATGGGACTCGGGTTCAGCTTGCTGGCAGGTTGTCCCTGATACACGTCTGCTCGCCCATTTGTGACCTGAGGCTGATTCCTTCGCTCCAAAACTCCACGTCCTTCCACGTGACAGCTGCCTCGCTGGGCCCGTTGTCTGCCTGGTTGTTTCGTCAGGGACTGTAGGGTGGTGATCTTTCCCATGCTGTCATTCTCCCTCTCTCATTTATAGAGCTGTATCAGTGTGGATTCACTGAGTACTTTTCTTTTAAATTCAGTGCACTGCATAATCCACTGCGATGCTTGTGTTATCCAGAATTTGGCCACTGGGAGGCGAGGGCAAGTTCGAGGTGAATGTCTGCTGTCTCCCAGGACCCCGAGTGGGCAGTCCTGTCAGCAGGAAGTGAGCAGGAGCAATTGCTGGCCGCCCGACCCCCTTTCCCCCAGGCACTGTCTCCAGCTCCTTCGACCTCACACGAGGCACATAGTAGCTGCTTAATAAATAGATTAAGAGGTACATGAACATGCCTAGAGTATTTCCTGGCCTGTGGTAGACAAAGTGAATGGTGTCCATTTCCTGCCCTGTACGTAGGTCGTGCTTGATAAATATGTGTGGAAGAAATGAACCTTTTTTTCTGAAGTGCTAAAGTGTGAAGAGTTACTGTCAGCTGTGAAGTGTAAATTCTTTTGAAACAAAGGTTTGTCTGAATCTCTTCCTACATGTTGCATTCTTTCTGTCCCAGTTAATTTTATTTTTACTATTTTTCTTACGATCATTTAGATGGCCTCTCCAGAAGAGAAGTGTCAACAAGTTTTGGAACCCCCTTATGACGAAATGTTTGCAGCTCATTTAAGGTAATCCATGAGTGAGGAAGAAAAACAAGCAAATCTGAAAATTGCTGAACTGACTCTAGGGGTTTTATTTAACATTTTATGCTTGAAGCAGTGAAAAATTTCCTTTGAAAAAGTAGAAAAGTGTGTTTGTAATTTCACTTTGGTAACACCTATGAAAATCTTGTGAAGTTTAAAATACTTTAAAAAAAATGGAATACTTTCGAATTTTAATAAATGTTTTATTCAGGGACCACGTATGTTTTGAAAAGTTAACATGAAATGGTAATCGTGGATGTGTGTGTGTCTTCTGTGTAACGCTCTGAAAAGCATTTGGTATCCATCCTACTGGCCGCGTGGTGGTCTTTTGTGTGTGTGTGTGTGTGTGTGTGTGTGTGTGTCTTCTGTGTAACGCTCTGAAAAGCATTTGGTATCCATCCTACTGGCCACGTTGGTCTTTTGTGCAGCAGGCTGTGGCGCTCACTGTCGACTTGCGTTTTTCATGGAAACGCCCGGTTTTTAACCTCTTGGCCTTACTGGGGAAGAAACTGGAGCAGAGCAGAGCAGATGAAATTCTGCTTTTTATTCACATGTCATGTCTACTGTTTTCACCTCTAAAGCCTCGATCCAGGCAAGCTTCAGGTGTTACAGTGTGTGGGATTTGGTTGTCCTCCTGCCTGCCCTCTTCTCCGGCATCCTGAGCGGGCTGGGGTCTGGGGGCAGGGTGGGGCAGACCTGCGGGGCCCCTGAGATCTCTGGAAAAGTTGGGGTGCCACTGTGTTTCTTGTAGCAACTCCCTAGCTCTGTGCAGCATGCGGCGAGGCGCCAGGTTTGGGGACGGACTGACTGACAGTGACACTGCCCGCCGGGCGTCTGGGTAGAGTGTCCTTGCCCATTGATGCCCGAGAAGGGCCATTTGCGTGTTGTTAGTGGAACCTCTGCAGCTGGGCTTCTCCTTCTGGGACTTGAAAGAACAGGCCCAGCATGTAGCGTGGGATTTCCTCCTGTACCCGGTGGTCTCTCGTGAGCCTCCTTGTAATCTGCTGGGTCAGTTGAGAGCAAGGCATTTGTGCTGGGAGCGAGCAGTGCGGTCCGCGTGGTCCGTGCCGGCTCTCAGCGAGTGCGCGCGCTTGCTGCCCCTCCGCCCTCAGTGCCCACCACTTCCTTTCCAGGTGCACGTACGCGGTGGGGAACCACGACTTCATAGAGGCGTACAAGTGCCAGACCGTCATTGTCCAATATCTTTTGTCGTGGGCGTTACTGTTCAGTGTCTAACAGGTACAGCGGGTTACTTGGGGGCTAAGATCCTGAAACGTCAGGCCAGTTTTAGTCCCGCCTTTAGTTAGAAAGCAGGAGAAGCTCACTTAGCCCTTCCACTCAGGTCCTTAAATGTAGCCTGGCCTTCAGACTGTGTCCAGCCACCTACGTGGTAGGAAGAACACTGGTTATGATTAAGGATTTTAGCATGGCCTTCAGACTGTGTCCAGTCACCTACATGGTGGGGAAGAACACTGGTTATGATTAAGGATTTTATTTAATTCTGTTGTGAAGAATAATACTTTGTTGCCTTTCCAACATTCAGTATAGTTACAGGGATGGGTTAGTCCCCTTGGAGAAATAGAAGAACTTCCAGATCCGGGCACAGATGGAAGAGTGGACGCAACACACAGCATCGTTGAATTGTGGTCACTGAGGGCCTTAATCAAGCCAATTCTGATTTAAGTCATTTAAGTGATATCTTATGGCTAAGGCCCTGGTCAGTGAGTATTCTAGTACTGTTTATATGTATCTCCAGACTTTAGTTGCTTTTTTTTTTTTTTTTGGCCGAGCCACACAGCTTGTGGAACCTGGCAGTGAAGGTGCTGAGTCCTAACCACTGGACCTCCAGGGAATTCCCTTTAGCTGCTAATTTTTTAACCATCTTGCTTAATATACACGGAAGAGAATTGGTTACTGACCAGCCAAGTCTCCTCTGAATTCAAGAATTCTGTAATCAGTGAAATAAACTTTATACCACAGATCCTAAAGCACATTATATATAAGTTGTGATCATCTGAGCTCAGAGGAGCCAAATAAGCCAGTTTTAAAAACCTTATAACAGTCTTTTTCTTACTTTGGGGAAAGTATGTATGAAATAAATGTATTTACGTATACCTAATGATACTCAGATGTTTGTAATGTGGGCTCATGTATTTTTTCCCTTCAAGAACCTGCTGCTGTGATACATAATCTTTTAAGTGGTGAGCTATAGCCCTTACAGTTTAGAACCCTTGTTGTTCTTTAGTCTTTCAATTGTAGCATGAGTTGAACTTTTTCTGTCGGACCTTCCTTAATATACTACATCATTCCTACGGGCATTTCAGGCCCACAAAGAAGAAAACTGGTAAGTACAAACAGAAACAGCTGGAAATTAGCAAATGGCTTTTTTCTTTTTTAAAAGCAGAAGTTTTAATTGTGTATTCTGTGTTGGTATTTAATGTTGTGTGTTGACGTGATAATATCAACACAGATAATGGAGTTTTAATAGTCAGTGTAAACTTAAATGGCAGGTCAGCCAGATTATTTGCAGTGTTTTTCTGTAAATATGAAGTATTTCAGCCATTCCATGCCCCCAAATATTTACTAAATATTATTTTTTCCCTTTAATTGTCAATTTTGAACTTACTTTGGGTTTTAAACTTGGATAAAAGATGTAGATCAGTTACAGTTCATTTGGGATGATGGAATACATAATAACTGGGTTATTTTAAATTCCTTGGTAAGCTATTTTATGATTTATTAAAAATCTGGGTAAATACTGAAATTCTGTTTATACTAAGATAACTGAAGGCTTGCAAATACCTTTTACTAAAAAAAAAAACAAAACCCTTTTTAAGTGAAGATCTCTCTTACACATAAAATTAACACTGCCAGCTAGATTTTGAAAAGTCGTTTTGTGACATTGGTCTGTTGCATACCTTGGACCCTGTTAGGAGATCGTTGTGAACCACGTCTTGTTTTAATGGAGCTGTTGGCTGGTGGTAGGGGCTGAGGGGAAGGAGACTTCGTGTCCCAGCGTAGGGGGAGGGTGCTGCCAGGGCTGAGCCCCTCGACTCCCCGGGACTCGTGCAGATGGGGAGGGGCTGCCACCTGCCCGGGACGAGGGTGAGGGAAAGCATAGCAGCCCCTGGGCGTGGGCTGGTGACCCCCTTTCTGGATGGTAGCCCTGGCCTCCCCACCTCTGGTAATGGAACCTCTGACCTCAGAGCGTCTTCAAACGTACTTGTTTTTGCCCCGTAGGGCTCTGCCTGTCATGTATGCAGTGGCACTTGACCTTCGAATATTTGCCAATAATGTAAGTTCAGTTTCTGTCACTGTTCTTTTAAACCCAAACTCGTTATCTATCTGTTGCTTAATTTCATATCATCTTTCCACAAATTTTGAGGAACACGTTGGGTCGGTGAACGTGGTGTGGAGAAAGAGCACGGGGGTGGCTTGGCTCGCGCGTGAGGCTCTGTGCTCTCGCCAGCTGTGGAGATGCGCCCCGTCCCGTCCCTAGTGTAGATTCAGGGAGTGCTGAGGGTTCTCTGGAACAAGGAGGATTTTATGAGTCGATTTCCCCTTGGGGTCAGCATAAGCCATTTTGGGGGCAGCAGTTCTTAACTTTTTGGTCCTGACACCCCTTTACAGTTTTAAAAACTATCCATAACTTCTGGTTCTGGACAAGACACAGTAGGCGTGTGTTTCTCTCCCTCCTGCTGGGAGTTTTAAGGCCAGCGTGGCTCTGAGAGGTGGAGGGAAGAAGGGGCAGAGCAGCGAGTTCCCTGCGTTTGTTTCCTTCTCATCTCCTGGGCGTCCTGGTTCGGTCCGGCACCCGGGGACACTGACAGTAGGCAGAGACGACGCGGCTCCCTCCCCTGCATCCCACCTCTGGGCGGGGAGCATCCCAGCTGCCTCCGCCCTGGCCTGCAGGCCCAGCCCTGTCCGCAGTGGGTGGCTGGTGTGAGCGCAGGCCTGGCTGAAACAAGGAGAGCCACAGTCTTATGACACCCCGGGCATCCAGGATATAATCGAGAGTCCCTTGCCATACCAGGAATCGGGACTCTTGGCCTTTGAGACTCTGAATGGGGGAGATAGTCGGCAAGCACCCGACACCGAGGATGGGATGGCGATTCCACCCCCGCCGCCATAAAACCCTGGGAGCAGGTGCGAACGCGCTTGAAGCAGGTGGAGACATCTCAGCAAAGAAATGCAAGATATAAAGCAGCACCAAATGGAAATTTTAGAACTGAAAAATATAATAACTTACATAGAAATTATTGAGGACCCCCAGAAGCTTCTGTTCATATGGGTTATATCAGTACTTACTGTATTAGAAATTTTAACTGGGAAAATTTTTAACATTGTTCACCTAAAATAATAAACCTTTTATGTGGTAACATAATTGACTTTCTAAATTAAAAAAATATATATTTTCAAAGTGAACAAAATGTACAAAAAAGTGGCATTTTTATCCGTTTTGATCTCTTTAATGTATGGCTCAACGGAAGCCGCTCAGATTCTTAGGTCTGCTTCTGAATTCACTCTTTGCAGTACCTTGTTTTGGTTGAATATATGAAGAAGTGTGGCCTCACGTAGATGTACATGGAAGTGGGAGGACTGTTCTAGTAGCCTTTTCAGGTGATCGTAGGTGCCCTTCTCTGAGCTACACCTTTTAAAACTACAAGAGTAGTTCTTAAGGGTCATTGCAGCGTGGCCTCTGAAGCGTAGCAGTGGCCGTTCCCTGCTACATCCAGACCCACTGGTGTGCCCTGCACGGTGAATGGATCTTTCACCCCTGTAGGATTTTGTAACGTTGTACATTGATCATTTGGAGAGTTCTGGTTCACTGAGTTACCCAGACGTTCCAAATGTTGACGTATTTCATTACGTGAAAAAACAAAAACCAGGAAAACTCTACATTTGTTAATATCTCCAGTGACCTCCTCAGAGAAGTCGTGAAGCAATGGAAAGCCGCCAGGCTCTTGGTGGTCAATACAAGTTTCCCAAAGTTCTAAGTTTTTCTTGAAAGTGCAGATGTCATCGGCAGCAGATAATAGTCAGTGTTTGCCTGGGAGTGACAGGCTTGCTTCATTCACTTTCCAGAGCCCCGTGCTGGCCAGTGGCCCGTGCTGGCTGGCCAGGCTTTGAGGTTGTTTGTTCCACGGTCCAGCTTGAGGCCTCGACGGTGGCCCCAGTGCTTTTCCTTAAAAACAGACGTGCTGTTTTTAGGCGGACTTCCCGCTTCATCGCAAAGAACACTAAAAATACATGTATTCAAGGCCTAAGACTTACTAATGGTGTTAATATTTACTGCATCCTCACTGACCCTCTGAAGTGAAGTTAGCTGCATTGGTTGGTTGATGGGAGGACGCGGGTGCGCGAGGTTCAGGACAGAGTGGCTGCAAGTTCGGTTGGGGCCGCCGGGTAGGCGCCGGTCCTGTCCATTGCCGTCCTCTGCACCGTCCATGCAAACGTCATGCGCGTGGGAGATGGGGTTTCGCGGCCAAGTAAGAAAAGGCTAGTTAGCAGCGCGTGGCACAGGTCGCGCAGGCTCAGGGAGTCCGTGACCGACTTACTGGCTTGAATTGGTTGAAGAGCGATTTGATTTGTGGAAGAGCTGGAACACGCTGTAGACGCTTCCGTTTTGTAAACGTAGTAGCACAGGCTAGATGGTCTCGCCAGAACCTTTGGGGACAACCCTCCGCTGTGCGTTTTTGCTTCTAGCTGTGCCGTGATCTTCTGTTTAACTGAGGTGTCTAGAGGAGATGAAAAGTGAAGGTTTTTATCTTCTATCAGGCAGATCAGCAGCTGGTAAAGAAAGGAAAGAGCAAAGTTGGGGACATGCTGGAGAAGGCGGCCGAGCTGTTGATGAGCTGCTTCCGCGTCTGCGCCAGCGACACGTGAGCGCCCCGCCGCCCTACCCGCCCTGCTGGGCGCTGGCCTTGACCCCACGATCGCTGTTAGCTTTTGCTTCAAATAGTCCACTGTCTCATAAGGAAATAAGAGAACAGAACCACTTCTTATGCTGCCGCACACATTTAGCACTTCTGGGCCCACGTGGCCTGCGCTCTGGGTCTCACGCTTTCCGAGGTCCCTCTGTGTCGCCGTGTGTTTCGGTGGCTGTGACGATAAGAGAAGGTACTTTTTCCTTTTCCCCAAGCGCTTTATCGCAGTCAGCTTTTACACAACATCGCTGCAAACTGAGCGGTTTTCGTCTGCTGTGGCAAGGCGCTGTATCCCCCGAGTACCCACGGTGTTAGAGAAGACGTCTTCTTTCGTGGCGTTGTAGTCTTCCGTGCACCTGACTCGAGCCGTGGGGCTCTAAAGACGCTAATTTGTTGCGGAAGCTGATTTTGCGGTTGACACGTGACATCTTTACTTCCCGGGCAGCGTTAACATAACCGTTCTCCCCGTAGCCGTGCGGGCATAGAGGACTCCAAGAAGTGGGGCATGCTGTTTCTGGTGAATCAGTTATTCAAGATCTATTTTAAGGTAAATGCTGTCAGAGCGCTGCGTCTCTTTGTTGGGTCTGCTTTCCGCCTGTCTTCCCAGACAGCCCTTCTATTCACTGTCAGCCAGCCTCCCGGGCAAGCGGTCCCCCCCCCCCCCCCCCGGCTGCGCACATAATCCTGGGAGCTGGTGTGCGCCCAGGGGCTGCCCGGCGCGAGGGCTGCTGTCAGCACTTCACGCCCGTGGTCCTCTTTAGCCTCCGCCCGGCGAGGCGCGCGCTCGGCTCCAGGGGAAGTGAGGTGCCAGCGCCTCACACCGGTGTCGGTGCACGGACGGCCAGGCGAGGGGCGCCAGCCCGGCCCCTGTGCGGGTGGGCCCTCCGCGGTGGGCGTGGTCAGGCTGTGTAGCTGTGGTGCGGTGTTAGCATCAAGGCTTCGGTTTTGATGATGTGAATCCCACCGCAAGGAGGCGTGTACTTCGTAACCAGAAGTTTATGTTTGTTCTGCCTATTTATTTAAAATACTGTTTAGGGTAGATTGTTACTCGTTATAGATCAACAAGCTCCATTTGTGTAAACCGCTCATCCGAGCCATCGACAGCTCAAACCTGAAAGACGACTACAGCACTGCACAGAGGGTGACGTACAGGTACTATGTGGGGCGGAAGGCCATGTTCGACAGCGACTTCAAGCAAGGTGTGTCACTGCTTCTGAGCAGCTGGGGCTGGGTTCAGGGGACGTGGTCACTGCCTCCTGTTACTGCTGAAGGTAGACCGTGGGTGTTGGCTGCATCCAAGCTGTGTTTATTTTTGACACTAAGTTGGTTCCACAAGGGAAAGTCCCACGTGAAGTTCCTCGCTCCACGCCAGGTCTCTGAGACGGGTGCCAGCATGTCCTTTTCTGGGCACCGGTGTTCCGGCGCAGGCTACAGTCGGTGTTTCCCTATGGCCTCTGCTGGTCCCGTGGGCCCAGGACGTGGAGATGGGGCAGCGCGTAGCTCAGCTCCAGCCGCGGTGGACGAGCCTTTGCGCAGGTGCCATCTTCGGTGCTTGTGGCCGTGCGTGGCGGATTGGTGCCGCGTCAGAGCTGTGCTTTCGTGAAATCACGTTATGTGGCTCGTGTCATTAGCTTTCTCAAGAACGGGAAGCCACGTTTTTTCTTTCTGAGCTTTTGGAGTAGCTGGCATGTGGTGGTCCTTTATGATTCTTCTTTCGTCCTCAGACCAGACTTTTCTAAACTCACTTCTCTGACAATTATTTGCACGTGAAGCCATGTGACTTCAGGCAACACACCGGATGTAAGGAGCACCTCCTCTCCGTGTGTCAACAGCCATGGATGCTCCGATAACAAAAATAACAGCTCTCGGGCTTCCCTGGTGGCGCAGTGGTTGAGAGTCCGCCTGCTGATGCAGGGGACACGGGTTCGTGCCCCGGTCCGGGAGGATCCTACATGCCGCGGAGCGGCTGGGCCCGTGAGCCATGGCCGCTGAGCCTGCGGGTCCGGAGCCTGTGCTCCGCAGCGGGAGAGGCCACAGCAGTGAGAGGCCCGTGTACTACAAATAATAATAATAATAACAGCTCTCTCATAATAAGTGCTCTGTTTTTTTACTCTGTAGGGTCGTGTAGACCAACTTTTCATTTTCTTTCACGAAATCTTTATACATCTACAGCTTTCGAAAGAGGGCTTTTCTTGGTTAGTTCCCCCATCTTTTTCTTTTCCTTTAAATATCAAGCATAAGAAGATAAGCTTTTACTTTTTACTTTTTTAAAATAAATTTATTTATATATTTATTTATTTTTTGGCCACGTTGGGTCTTCGTTGCTGTGCGCGAGCTTTCTCTAGCTGCAGCGAGCAGGGGCTACTCTTCCCCGTGGTGCGCGGGCTTCTTATTGCGGTGGCTTCTCTTGTTGCAGAGCACGGGCTCTAGAGTGCAGGCTCAGTAGTTGTGGCTCGCGGGCTCAGTAGTTGTGGTGCACGGGCTGAGTTGCTCCGCGGCATGTGGGATCTTCCTGGACCAGGGCTCGAACCCCTGTCCCCTGCGTTGGCAGGCGGATTCTTAACCACCGCACCACGGGGGAAGTCCAAGAAGAGAAGCTTTTAAATTACAGCTTACCCCTGAACAACGAGGGGGTTAAGCCCCGTGTGACTCACAGTCAGCCCTGTGCCCACGGTTCCTCCACATCCATGGATCAGCCAGCCACAGACCACGTGGTAACGTAGTGTTTACCGTTGCAAGTACCCGTGTACAGGTAGACCCGCACAGCTCGGACTGCCTTGCTCAGGGGTCACCTGTGCTCTCAGCTGACGTCTCTGAAGGTATTGCTGTGCTTTTCCTCTGAATATGCACTGAGTGGTACTTTTGAATACCTAACACAGCAGGAAATAATTTGTTAATATTGACGGTAGATATTTGCAGTTCCTGAAACCTTTCGGGCCTTCATGTAAGGGTGGGTGGTAGCATCAGGCACAGGGTGGGGACCGTGGTGACCATGTCTGTGTCTGACTCTGCAGCTGAGGAGTACCTGTCCTTTGCTTTTGAGCACTGCCACCGTTTGAGCCAGAAGAACAAAAGGATGGTCCTCATTTATCTCCTTCCTGTGAAGATGCTCCTGGTAAGTGACCTCAGCGGCTCTCACGGGTCCCGCCGTCTACGAGAAGGGGGCAGATGCCTTACGGCGCGGCCAGTGGCGTGTGATGGGTCACAGTCTGAGCTGCACGTGAGCACGCCCCGGAATTGAGGAGGAATGAGCCTTGGGTGTGACCCGGACTACTCTTTCCGTGACTGGCGCTTCCAGATCCTTCTGGAAAGGCTTGCCTGTGTTTCCTTTCTCTTGAAGTTCCCTAACTCAAAAGTTTAACATATATAAGACAAGTAAAATAAGTGCATATTATTTTTGTTTCCCCTAAAAAATCTAAATTTATAGAAATGGATTAACGAAGAAAGAAAAAGGTCATTCCAGCCTGTCTGTAGGTATCTTACTTGGTCACTGAAAATTATTTTTGATATTTGTAAAGAAATGACAAATAGCTAGCAAGTTATTTGAGTAAAACATCCTCAAAGTAATAGATAGAACTTCCTTTCCTCCCATTTAAAAATTTTTTTTAATTATCAAAACAACACCACATACTTACCTAGTTCAGGGTGACTTGTAGTGGGAAAGAGAGAGTGTCACACCTCCCTCCCCACTGCTAACCCGACTTCACGGGAACAACCAGTTTTAGATTTTTCAGCTGGTTCTTCTAGAAGCTGTTTCTGAATTCCTAAATTGTAGCCTAGTATTGCTTCAGGTGTCACCCGCCTCCTATGATACAGTAATGAGAAGGTCGAGATCGAGGTCAGACGTCACTGATGACAAAACCCTGTTTTGGCTAGGTTTCCTGATTTCCAGACCAGCGATGGTTTTTGTTTTTTTTTTTTTCCAGTAGACTAGCATGCTTTCAGTTCTTGTTCAGCGACTTAGGAAGAAAGCCTAAGAAACGCAGGTTGCAAGTTTTTCCTTGACAAGAGTTTTATCAGACAATTTGGTTAAAAGTGAAAGGGTTCTTATTCTGGAACTTTACTCTTAGGGTCACATGCCAACCATTGAGCTCCTGAGGAAGTACCATCTCATGCAGTTTGCGGAGGTGACCGAAGCTGTGAGGTAGAGTATTTTTCCTTTTCCATTTGAGACCTCGTAGAGGGTGAAATCGGCACACACGTCCTCGTGTTGTGACAGAACTAATGGCGTTTCGACGCGCTCTCGTCCCGGACGTTGTTCTGACTGTGTCTGTGCGTCTGTCCCGCCGCCCAGCGAAGGCAACCTCCTCCTCCTGAACGAGGCTCTGGCCAAGCACGAGACCTTCTTCATCCGGTGCGGCATTTTCCTCATCCTCGAGAAGCTGAAGATTATCACCTACAGGAACCTCTTTAAGAAAGTGTAAGCAGAGTCCGTCCTTTTCATTCCGGGGGTAAAATCCGCCTTCCGCGGCCCGCGCACTGCCCTGGGCCTGGGCGCTACGGCTGCGCAGGTGGGGTAGCAGAGGTCTGCCCGCCCTTGCGGGAGGAACAACTCGGGTTGCGGTGGAGACCTTGTAACAGACGTTTTAGCGCCGGCCCTGAGAACCAGGCGTTTCCCATTGTGCCGGAGAGTGTGGGACCCGTTGCCCATGTCCTCCGTTGGTGACCCGCTGACCCTCCCCACCACCCCCGTCCGTCAGGAGGTTGTTCTTTTCTTCCGTGTCACTCTGGAAGTTGACTCTTCTCTGAGGCCTGGTCCCAGCAGGATCTCAGTTAAACTTCAGTTAAAGTCAGACTTTTTCTGGCTGCGAGGAATATAATAAAATTAGCAAGGACCGCAGTTCATCACACCTGAGACACTGTCCATCGTAAGGTGCTTCTCGATTATAAGGATGTTAAAATGTGAGAACACGTGCATCTGAGATTCAAGCAAATAGCCAGTAAACGTAAAGTATATTTGTACTAGTGGCTTTTTAAAATTGGAAAGTCAGAATTAAAAGCTCTTATTTTTCAAGTGTATCTGGCGGGTGGGAGATGCTTTGTTCCTCTTGAACAGAGGTTTCTCAGCAGATGTTTCTCCTGCTGACTTCGTCCTCACATCCCGTCCCTGATGAGCGTGAGCTCTGTCCCTCTTGCAGGTACCTGTTACTCAAGACGCACCAGCTGTCTCTGGATGCGTTCCTGGTTGCCTTGAAGTTCATGCAGGTGGAGGACGTGGACATCGCCGAGGTCCAGTGCATCCTGGCCAACCTGATCTACATGGTGTGTGGCCGCGCCTCCCCCGGGCCCCGCCTTCGCTGGGAGCTCTGATGCCTTCCTTGTTCCCAGAGAGTTCTGTGCGGGCGGGGTGGATGCACACGGCACATATTTCTCTGTTCTCTCCTGTGCGTGTTCACTCGTCCTCCCAGGGAGCTGACTGCATGGTGACTGGGTGGGGGGATACTTGTGCCACAGCGCCAGGTCCTTCACCCCCGCAGGCTTGACGAGACCCAGGCCCAGAAACACGCCGCCTCTGCTCTTCTCCCACAGGGTCACATTAAAGGCTACATCTCGCACCAGCACCAGAAGCTGGTTGTCAGCAAGCAGAACCCGTTCCCCCCGCTGTCCACGGTGTGCTGACCCCGCCCCCGGCCCCGGGGACAGGGAGCCGGGCCATCCTGGTTCGTATGCTGCCGAGAACTCGTTCTCCGCGGCTGGAGTCTCTCGGGTCTTTCCCGGGGGAGGCTGAGACCTCAGTGTCTCTGCCATCACGGCTGACGGATATGCACCTCACGGAGGCCTGGCATCCCCTTCCCAGAAAGCGCAGCCATCTCCGCTGGCCCTGGGGTGCTGGTGGCGCTCACGCGAGGGGCGCGGGCTCCGAGGCAGCTTCTGTTCACTCCTCGTGAGTGTTCTTCACGAAGGCACCTTTTAACTCTTTCTGTAAAAAAAGGTGATCTGAATTGATACAAAAAGGTGTATTCTTTACCGTATCTTCTGGGATACGTCTTTTTATGTTAAATTTGAACATTCTGTGTGATCAAAATGCTGGGTTAACTTAATGCTTCTTTTTACAAGCTGAATTTACTTCGATTTAAATTTCCCAGGTGTCATAGCTGTTTTTTCAGAGTGTGCGGCGTCTCCTCTGTCTGTGCAGAACTTACTAAAGAAGGAAACGTCACGGACTGTAGTTGCTCATCGCTGCAAAGGCGCATGCCCTTTGCGTGGAGAAGAGCCACTGTGGGACGTGGAGAGACACACACACACCCCGCCCCCCCCGCCGAGGCCTCCCATCTGTGCCCCCCCGCGTCAGCTGCTCCAGCTGCCAGACCAACTGTCCCAGTTGGCTCAGAAGTGTGCAGTGTGCTCCCGGCTTCTGCTCCACGTGGCTCATCTGTAGGGCTCTCCCGGGCTGCACAAGTGACCCACCCTGAAGGTGCGTCGTCCCAGGGCTCTGACGCGCTCAGCCGGGCTCCACGTGGGCCTCTCCAGTCGGATGGAGCCGCATTCCGAGAGCAAGGACCCCAGAGAAGAGGTGGAGCTGGATCCACTTCTGTGAGCTGGGCTTCTGAGTCAACAGTGTGACCTCCACCCTGGGCATGTCCAGACTTGGACGTGGGGACGGGCAGTGCGGAGGGGACGGCCTGCCGTGGGTGTCAGGCCCTCAGCCGCCTCCCCCCACCAGTTCCCTGAGCAGGAGAGCGTGGCCTGGGGGAGGCGCAGACGGTCATGGTGAGACAGTCCATGTTTCCCGGGGCACTGCTGTCACGGCATCGCTGCTCCGCGGGGCTGGGCACACCCTCACGGATGAGAGCTGCGTCCTCGCTGTGGGGTGAGCGCTGGACTTCTGGGAGCGTGCCTGGATTTCATAGCGTAGAGAGCTGGGCATTTTCAACACTTTCAGGTGTTTTCTTGAACAGTAGAAAATCAGGGACTGACCGTGAACCATAGCACGGGGTTGTACTTGGCAATGAAAGAAACAGAACCTCGGGCACGAGCATCCCGCGTTGCCACTGGTCTGGAGGCCTGTGTGTGGAGCGGCCGGCCTGGCCTCGTCAACACAGGCCTGGCGGCGTTGTTCGCACTGCCCCCAAACTTGGAAGCAGACAGTCTGTACCCGGGCGTGAATGGGTGCGGCCATCTAATCAAGTTCCCTTTTCTTGCGTTTTATTGTTTTGATTTGCTTACCTCGTGTGGTTTCTAACCACTTATTAAGTTATACACGTGACTAGAGCAGTTTTCATTTCGCATGGCCCTCTGCGTCTCAGCTGCGTTGCAGGCCTGTATCTTTCTCTGCAGTGGTCCTTGTTTCTATAGAGCCTGTAAATGCTGTAGGGAGATTCTTACCTCTGCCTGTGCTGTGTGTGTTTGTCATAATTTCCAGGTAGGGTTTCTACTCTAGCAAATCCAGATTTGTAGGGCAAATTAATGCCATCAACGAGGTTGCAGGTATCTTTACAGAATTATTTATGTAGAAGTTGCAGTGCACATCCGCTGGATTTTAAATCCTTGGTAGCCATTCAGAGCAGTGGCCTGATGACCTCATGACAGTTTGAAGATAACACAGCCACATTCAGTAAGACGTCAGAGTCCTCTCCTGTTCCTCCACTGCCCTGTCCCTTAGTTTGCGTTAGATTCACATATTTATTTTTGCCAAGGTCCTTTCAGAGAAATGGGCCCAGCGCATCTGCAGACTGGCCAATAAAAGGCTAACTCTGGGGTTGAAGTATAATGTCAGAAGTGAAACAAGCATCGTGTTTGTTTAAGGGTGGTTACTTAAAAATCTGAATTGTGTTTAAGCTCCGTTCTCCGGTGAGGAGAGTGTGTTAAGTCACAGTTTTAACTTCTTAAAACAGCCCTCCTTTCCCCAGCAGCGCGTCAGGAAGGAGCCCGCCCCCGCCTGTGCCTTTGGCGGGAGCTGCCTTTAGGCCCTGCCGTGGTGGCCGCGGAGCTGTCAGCCGGGAGAGCACTTCCTTCCCTCGGGGGAACTGGGCACCTCCGGCTTAGACTTTAACGGGGAAATAGACGTGATGTGCACCCGCGCTCTCGCCTGCCGGTCGGGCACCGGCCGCCCCGCCCCCTGGGTCGGGTCTGCAGGAAGCGCCGTTCGGGCTGGGCTCGCGGCCCGTCGGCGTGGGTGGAGGCGGCGGCGTCACGGGGCCGCGGGGCTGTCGCCGCGCGGTCCCTGCGCCGCCCTCGTCGTGGGGCTGCGGCCTTTCGATCCAGCTGCTCCGGTGCTCCCGCCCCGGGGTCGGGCCCGCGCAGAGGCCCGCGGTTTGCCTTCCAGCCCCTCGCGCTGCCCGCTCCTTCTGCCCTCCCGGGGCAGGCGGGGAGGTCGCTGCGACGCCGCCGACCCCGCGACCAATGTTGGACTGAACCCCTTTGTTCCCTGGCGTTTCAGGAAAGCGCCTTTCGGTGCCGGCAGCTCTGCTTTTATTGCTGGACGCGCGCCCTCCCCCCTCCTCCCCGGGGTTCTGCTCGGACGAGGGGTCCTGGGGGAGGGGCTGAGGGCTCTGTCACCCCAGGACCGGCTCCTCGTCGCCTCTGTGACCGTGGTCGCCTCTCCGGCTGGCGGAGCTCGGCTGCTGCGTGACTCGCCGGAGCCAGAGCGCGTATCGGGGGACCTTGATGAGCAGGAGCGGCCCGGGGCCCTCGCGGGGCGCGGCGCTCAAGAGGCCGGTGAGGAACCAGGCGCCGCGGTGCTCCCGGGCCACCGCGCCGCCCGCCGCCCACCGCGCGGACCCGGCCGCCGCGCCCCGCTCGCAGACCGTCCGCGTGGTCACCGTGGTGTTGAGGGCCCGGCCGCACTCCCCGGGGTCCACGTGCGTGACCAGCAGCCGCGCGGGCTCCAGCTCGGGGCCACGGAGGGTCCAGCCGCCCAGCACGCCCGGCCGCGGGAGGAGGACGCGCTCGGCGAAGTCGGCCTCGGCAGTGCAGACGGGCCGCCCGGCGTCGGGGCAGCGCACGGGCCGCGCCAGCTCCAACAGGGCCACGTCATTGTCCGCCGTGTCCGCCTCGAATCTCGTGTGCACGTGGACGCCCTTCACCTCCACCGCCGGCGGGGCCTCGCGCGCCCGGCAGCGGGAACCTGGAAGGAGGCGGGGGGGGGGGGGGGGGGGGGTCAAGGTGACAACGTGCGCCCTGCCGCCCGGCTCCTGCGCGCAGGGGACAGGGGCTACCTCACGGAGGGGCCTCTCCCACACTCTCCTCTAGGAAACCCAGTGAGGTGTTCGCGGGGGGGCCGGGGCGGGGGCGCCGGGGCGGGGGCGCGGGCGCAGAGCGCAGTGCGGGTTGCTGAACCGGTCAAAAGACTAGGAAGAAATTAGGAGGAACCTCTCCAAGCCAATCAGAGCTTGGCTTTTCGGATGTCATTTTCTAGGCCGACGTTCTGTTGACTGAAAAGTGTCTGGGGCTGGAGCGTATATTTGCGGGTCCTGGGAATCGCTGTGGAGCAGCTCACAGCACAGCCCAGGCCCCGGGGTGGACAGGGATCCGAGCTGCCCCACGGCACTGTCAGTGCCTCGTAGTGACACTTTCACCAGCTGTGGTTTCCTCCTTAGACTACACATTCCGCATGTGTCTGCCTGCTGTGCCCAGAGTTCCACTAGGTGTCGCCGTTGCCTTATGACTGTGAGGCAGAGAAGCTCCGTCTGTGTTGCGTTAGGAGCAAAGATTCTAGATGAAAAGTTTTGTTTCTACATGGGATAGTGTTTACTTCCAATGTGATCTTATAAAAATGAGTGACAGGGCTTCCCTGGTGGCGCAGTGGTTAAGAATCTGCCTGCCAGTGCAAAGGGACACGGGTTCGAGCCCTGGCCCGGGAAGATCCCACATGCCGTGGAGCAACTAAGCCCGTGCGCCACAACTACAGAGCCTGTGCTCTAGAGCCCGTGAGCCACAACTACTGAGCCCACGTGCCACAACTACTGAAGCCTGCACACCTAGAGCCCGTGCTCCGCAACAAGAGAGGCCACCGCAATGAGAAGCCCGCGCACCACAATGAAGAGTAGCCCTGGCTCACCGCAACTCGAGAAAGCCTGCGTGCAGCAACGAAGAACCAATGCAGCCAAAACTTAAAAGATAAATAAATAAATAAAATTTAAAAAGAATGATAAAATACTTGTTTTCACACTAATGTTTCTGTGCAAGAGTGAACATTTTGCTGTTGTCAGTACAAAATTGTCCTGTATTAAAACACCTCCACAGAAGTCTTCTCCTTCAGAATTTGTTAGTTTTACCTTTAAAAACCAAACAGACAATAAAGAGTTGGTGCCAGTTTTCAGGATTCGGGTCAGTATAGTGTCGTGGTTAGGAATATGGGCGCACACCCCTCCAGCGAGCCCAGCCCAGCCCACCCACTGCTGAGGCCGCCTCAGCGCACGGAGTGGAGGGGCGAGAAGGGCTGAGTGATGGACACTTGGAAGATGAACGCTCAGGAGGACAGGCAGCAAAGGTACGGTCCCGCTGGGGACAGATCCCCACCTCCACCCCGCCTCTCACTTGATGTCCCCTCCCTCGGTCCTTTCGGGTCCGGTGGTCACTGAGCTCTGTCCGTCGTCTGGCCGGGCCTCCACCCAGCGGCCGAACGCTTCTGCCCGGCTCCACCTGCTTGCGAGCAGCAGGGCGAAGTAGACGCGTTCTGCACATGCGCACACGCACACGCACGCGGGGCTGAGGCAGCCCCTTCACCAAAGGGCCCTGTAAAGCTCTCTGTCGACCATGGTGGTCGCTGTGGTTACTGGGCACTTGAGATTGACTGGCCCAAGCCAGGATGTGCTCCAAGAGTAAAAGGCTGTACACCCCAGAGGGCAAAGGCTTAGTTGAAAGAGAAAATGTGAGTGTCTCTCATTGTTTACTATTCATTACATGAGATAATATTTAGATGTATTGAGGTAAGTAAAACACACTATCAAAATTAATTGCACCTGCTTTTACTTTTATGCACGTGGCTACTAGCAAATTTAAGTTACGTCTGTGGGCGATATTGTGTTTCTATCGACAGGGCTGTTCTAAAGGACAGACGAGACAGAAGGGGATGATCTGCATTAAGGGCCTGGGTTGCAAGGAAAATGCAAAACGTAGGTAAATCCAAACCCATGTTGGCGGTATGATTAAAAATGATACTTATTTTGTGGAGTTACTAAAAAAGCAAGAAAAGGATAAAATATTGGTCAAAATAGCAGGTGAGCCTAGTGGGAGGTGCTTGAAATAATTTGGGAGAAGGGTAAACATTATAACTTCAGGTACTGCTAAGTTAGATATGAAAGTTTCAGTGTCAAGAGTGGTCACTGGATGAAGAGAAATAGAATATTTAGCTTCCAAACCAGGCAAGGGAGAAACAGGAGAATAACAGAAATGGTACCGAAGAAGAGACGTTTCCTGAACGTGGCAGCGGAGCTGGACTCCGCCAGCTGGCTGTGAGCAGGGCCCGGGCCTTGCTCTGGCTCTGGACCCACCGTGTCCACCCGAGCGCCGCCAGGATGCCTATCTTCCGAGAGCAGCGACATTGGAAACGGTTTTTGGACTCTAAGAAAGGCCTTGGATGGCTGTAAATAAAACTATGTTTTTATTTGGTGCAAATAATGAAGACACTGAAGCTGTGAGCTCAGAATGAGAAAGTGCTTTAAGTGTGATGTTGAGATCGTAAGCAGTTCACCTAAATCAAAGAAGGTGGAGATGACAAATAGGATGAAATTTGTAACAAAAGATTAAAACACATTTATAAAATGTTTCTGTTACCTGCCACGGGAAAGTCGGAGGGTCCTGCTCGCATCCCTGTGACGTCAGGAGGCCCTCAGAGATGAGGGCTCCGCACGCACACCTGTCTTCATTGTGGCCACATGAAAAGAAAAGTCAGTGCCTCCCAGGGCAGACGTCGGGTTTATCTGTGGCGCTGACCCTTCAGCCTATTCCTGGATGCCCACTAGGTTGAGATAATTCGTGTAACACAGAGTAGGTGAGATTAAACGACCTGCTCTCAGGGACTGAGAAGGCCCCGGGCAAGCCCAGCAGGGGACTGGGAACCCCCGGCCCAGCCACAGTGGAGGAGAACCCCGCGCCCAGCCACGGAGGAGGAGGACCCCCCGCCCAGCCACGGAGGAGGAGGACCCCCCCCCACCCAGCCACGGGGGAGGAGGACCCCGCGCCCAGCCACGGAGGAGGAGAACCCCGCACCCAGCCATGGGGGAGGAGGACCCCCCGCCCAGCCACGGGGGGAGGAGGACCCCCCCACCCAGCCACGGAGGGGGAGGACTCCGCGCCCAGCCATGGGGGAGGAGGTGGCCTGTCAGAGGTCCCTGCAGGAGGAGGCCCAGTGGAGGGGACTCACCGTGGGGGATGCAGGATTTGTGGTCCTGGCCCAGCTTATGCCCCTTCGCACAGCTGCACGTGTAAGACCCCGGCCCCGGGTGGCAGGAGTGCTGACACCCATCCGTCCTCAAAGGGTGACATTCATTTTTAGCTGAAAAGGGAAGAAGGGGAAACCAGACATGTTACCCTGGACATAGCCACTCTGAAATCTCCTTGCGCACTGGGACTCTGGCTTTTCCTTCCAAACGTCGCCAGGCGAGCGTTTCGACTCCGGCGTCAGGAAGGGGCAAGGAGCAGTCAGGGCTCCGTCCTCAGAGCAGCAGCTCGGTTGCGGGGGGCGGGTCTGCAAGTCCCTCGCAAGGATCCTCGTTTCCCGGCCGTGGGCTCACTTCCCGCCGCAGCAGCCGCTCCCTTTAAGGGGCGTCTTCCAGGTGGGCATTGGGATGAAGCTGGAAGCCCTGCTTCGGCGCGAGTTGCACTTGGGGCGTCCACACAGCACTGGGCGGGGCGCTCAGGAGGCAGCTGGAGTCCGGGGATCCAGGCTGGACGTAACGTTCGTCCCGGAAACGGGCTCCGCGTTGGCCCTCGGGAGCATTACGCGAGTTTACTGCTGCACGAACGACCACTGACGGGAATTGGCGCCGCCCACCCCCCACGGATAGTCTCACGATGTTGAAGGGACATCAGCCGATGAGGCTGCAGGCCGGGTCACGCACCCACGACCCAGAGAGCCGGGTGCGGTCCCCTCATAGGCTGACCCCCCCAGACCCATCACCCCCAGCGGGGTCAGCCGGGCCCCGGGAGAGCGGAGAGTAGATCGCGAATGGTCTGGACGGGGCGGGGGGCTGGGAGGAAGAGGAGGGGACCCCACGGGGGAAACAGGGGGCCGTTCACAAGGTGTGATTCCCAGCGGAAAGCCGGGTTACCACGGGCCTCCTCCTGCTCATCCCCGGGGCGGGGCTCGGTGTGGCGGAGGCCGGGGGGCGGGGGTCAGGGAGCGGGGGCGGAGGCCGGGGCGGGGCAGGAGGCCGGGGGCGGGGCGGAGGCCGGGCGGGGCGGGGGGGGCGGTGCTCACCGAAGGCGCAGTCCCGGCCGTCGTAGCCCGGGGCGCAGGTGCAGGTGTAGCCGCGGATGCTGTCCTGGCAGGACCCATTGTTGAGGCAGGGCCGGGAGACGCACGGGGAGCCGCCTGCCGATAGGGACGTGAGGACACCCTGCGGGTAACACCCTCCGACGTCCCTCCAGGACCCCCTTTCCTTGCTGGGCGGCCACGTGACCAGCGCCGGCGCCTCCTCGAGCTCTCCTGTCACTGTGGTCCCCGCAGGGACGTCCAGCATCCCCCAAGCCTCGCCTTCCTCAACCGGGTCTGACCCTTCAGCACGAGGCCCAAGGGAGCCCGGGAGGCCGCTCCAGCTTCCCCCTGATCCCGGCGGGACCCCAGAGCCTTTCCCACCCTCGTCCTCGGGCAGTGCCAGGCCCTTCCTTTGGGTCAGGGGTTCCAGGAGCCCAAGGCTCGAAATCTGGAATCCACTGGCCTCAAATTAGCAGCCCTCGTGAGCCAACTGCCTCCCCTGACCTTAAAGGGAGGAGAAGAGGAAAGAATCCTGGAGTAGGTGGAGGAGACACTTACCCAGATACGTCTTCCAAAATTCATCCTGTACAAGAGAAACATAAAAGTGTTACAAATGGGACATCTGTGTTCCGTGTTTTCTCCTGTAGCCCGGCTTGAAAATAAGAAAATGTTGATTTTATTCACTTCATAGGAAAATACTGGTTGAAACAAAGAATGTAAAATTCTTTACATCTACTTAATATCATCTTTAATACACCCATGTCCCATGTCCCATTCAGTATTTACGGTGACCCATTTGAGGAAGGGAAAACAGTCTAAGACGTGGCACAAACACCACGGCCTCGCGAGGCCCTTTCCCCTCCCGGGCCTGTCTCCATGGCCCCGCTCTGCAGAGTGCCTGAGGCAGATGTAAAAAATTCACATCACTTTTTCTGTTTTTATAAGCCAATTCAACAAGGATTAAAAATGTGGGGGGGGGAATGTTAATTTGGGGTGGCAGTATCTAAAATTAGGAGAATTACTCAGACTTAAGGCCTGGAGGGTAAACATATAAGTAATTGCATCTCCCCAAATCATACTCGGACTTCTAACAACTCAAGCACAACTTTACCAGGAAGTTTTAATTTCTCTTAGTTTGATTAAAGATCATTTTCTTATACATGGGCATTTAAGAAATTATGATTTTAAAATACTTTAAAAATATATTAGAGAAACGGGTCAACATTTTGTTCAGAATCACCTTTAAATGTTGCTGCTTTAATATGTAGAACTGGGAAGTCTTTATTACGTATTTTGCTATTCTGAAATATTTACACACAAATATTCAGCCCCTCTGTTTACTGATTGATAAGCTTATGAGTAATTGAGAATGGCAAGTTCTCAGTTGTATTATTTAGAGTGTATGTGTTGTTGCTTGTAATCCAAGTTATAGATTATGAGAGATGTTCTTACCATGTAGGCATCCTAGGGAGGATCTTTGCGTTGCTGATACATTGAAACAATTACATCTTTATTAAAAATACTAAATTCCGTCAGAGTCCTGTCAAGCTGAGTGACCTCTGTGAGGAGTCCGGCTACGCAATGTGCTAATTTGCTTAATCTGAAGAGTTTAGGTGGTGGGACTGAGCTGCCATCCCGGGTGCCCCACTAACTGGCTGGGGAAAGTGATTTCACTTCTGTGTCTCTGTTTCCTCATCTGTACAATTAGGATTAGATCAACCTCCCAGGTAAGTAAATAGGTTAATTAATTTAGTTCAGCCTCTTTGAGAAAATATGTCCTCTAAGGCAGCGGAATAATCAGAAAGCGTGTGAGTCTGTGGCAGGGGGGATACATACAGTGGATGCGTCATTTTCAAATACTTCTCGTGCTTCCTCATAGACACAGATTTCTTCATAACATTCCTTTTCTAAATTTCCCTCAAAGAGCTCTTCCAAAAGGTAGGAGCTGGCTCGTTTCCGTCTCACCAGAATTTCATTTGCCTTTGAGGTGGGAAGAAACACTGCAGAGCAAGACAGGTGTGTAGGCGCCTCAGCGTGGGCGGGCAACCCAAGAACTCCCACCCGCATCCTGAGGGCCAGGCTCTGCGGTGCGGGGAGGAGCAGACCCAACGGTTGACCCTCAGACCCGGGAAGAAGTTTACCTCCTGCTCACCACGACGTTGGGCCCCGGGCCCCTTACGTGCAGCCAGGTGAGTAGGAGTGAGCTTAGAACAGGAGGGTGGGAGCCCGCGAGGAAGGGGTGGAGACCGGGCTTGAGAGGCTGCCCCCTGGGCAGTCCTCTGCCAGGACAAGAGCCCCCGATTTCTAGCTGGGCACACAGCTGCGCGGACAGACTCCCCTGGTGCTAAGGGTGGCTGCATGGCTGAGCGCTGGCCACCAAGATGCAAACAGAAGGGCTAGGCAGCAGGTTCCTGGGAACCTTCTTGAAAAAGACAACTGGCGTGGCCCCTGGCCGTTTCTTTGTCCCTCTCTCCATCCTGCTACCTGGGACACAGATATGATGGCTGGAGCTCTAAGCGTCATTCTGGAATATGAGGATGAGGATCACAGCGGGGAGGACTGCGTAGAGCCACCTCATAAGGACACCGGTCATTGGATTTAGGGCCCACCCAACTGAGGATGGTCTCCTCTTAATTAATACACCTGCAAAGACCCTATTTGCAACTAAGGTCACATTCTGAGGTTCTGGGTAAACATGAAGTTTGGGGGACACTGCATAGATGGTGTCCACAGATTTCTCCACTGTGAGGAAGATGTTTTGGGATAGGAATGTCCTGTCCCCCAACAGTCTTTAGCCGAGTGTTTTCAGCGTCAATGAAGTAGTTTTTCCTGAATCAGTTATTACCATTTTAATTGCAGAAGAGTGACTTTACACCCCTCTTTCCTTCTGCACTTACTGATCGGCATTCTGCTGTAAAGGAGAATCTCTTCCCTGAATGCTTTGTGTTGATTCATTTATTGAATGGATTTTAAAATTCCAATGAATATTTTTTCCATTTCAGAAGTTCTGTTCGATTCCTTTTCACATCTGTTTTGGCATTTTAATGTCTCCTGTTTTCTTGCCGTATCTCTATCACATCTCCTGTGTTCTGTGTCTGGGTATCAAGGTTTTTGTGAGTCTGATTCTACTCTTTTTCCTGCAAGTTTCTGGTTGTCTTCTTTCCTTGTGTGTTTGGGTTTTTCTTTTACCATGAGAGGCCCCAGGTTGAGAAGGGAGCCCGAGGCAACGAGGACCCATGTCTCCCCCCGACGTGACCCTGGATCGTTGGGGTGTCACTGCAGTCACAAGCAGTGGCCGCAGACCCCTGGGCCGACTGCAGTGACTGCTTCTCCGGAGAGGTTTCTCTTTCTCCACCCAGCACCAGCATCCTGCCGCGGAGCTTGTCTCTTTCCCCCACGTGGTGCCAAGCGTGGTCTGAGCTGGGGTGCGGCCTCCTCCTGGGTCCCCTCGCGCCGTGTAGGCTCTGCGCCTGGGGCTGCAGGGAGCCGAGGGTGGTGGGCGCTCTACTGCCTCGTTCATTCTTTTGCTCCCGTTGGTCTTTCCCCTCGTGCCAGGCAGGGGCATGTAGCAAACATGGGATAAAATACTCTGCTTTCAGCGTTACCGGGAGGGTTTTTCTTGGTATCTCATCTGTGGCCCCTCCAGGACAGCGTTTCACGAGTCCTCGTTTATTTAGGCTGCCTCTGCCGTTTACCTCGTACAGGATTGTGCACAGTTGTACGCGGTTGTGAGCTGTGTGCTGCTGGCGGTGGCGGGGGGGGGGGGTGTCTCTTACTGAGGCCTCATTCCGAGCTTTGGGTTTTATTCTAAAGGTTCGACTGACTGTAAGAGGTATCTGATGTCACCCTGTCTGCTGCGTGGAGGGAGGGAGGGAGGGAGGGAGGGGGGCGGTGGCTGGAGCCTTGGCTGAGGTGGGCAGCGCAGCCGAGAGAAGCGGTTGCAAGCCCTGTGGTCACGAGTGTCCCAGGACATTTAGGACATCGAAGGAAAGAGGTTATGATCATTTTAATAATATACTTATTTAACCCAATAGATCCAAAATACTTCTGTTTCAACACACAACAATTGTTAAAAAACTATTAATTTGAGTTTGCATTCCGATTTCTGTGCTAAACCTCTGCAGTCTGGTGTGTTTTGAGCTCCTGGCGACCTGACCTTGGCCGCCGGTTGGGTGCGGGGGCGCGTTGGCCGCGTGGGCGCGTTGGCCGCGTGGGCGGCAGGGCTCCAGGGCCCCCCATCTGCGGTCGCTGGTTTGGGTCTGAATGTGAAGGAAGGTTGAGGACGGGGAGAGGCCCGCGGGCGGGGGGCATGAGGGGCTGGGGTGCCCTCCCGGCTCCCCCAGAAGCCGTGCCCTACCCGGTCCTGAGCCCCGGACCCGGTGGCCGGCTCCACCTGGGCCCCCGGGGACCCCAAGGGACACGGTCACTTCCAACATACTCGTCACGAGCGGCGAAGAGACCGGGAGCTGGGCTCAGATCATGCTGGCCCCGCAGAAAAAGCCCCCGACCCACCCACCCGCGAGCCTGAGTCAGAAAGGATGCCCAAGGTGGCGCCTACCTGCGGGCTGGGCGCCGCGCGGCGCGAGGAGGGCGAGGAGGGCGAGGAGGGCGAGCGGCGGCCCGCGGCCGGCCATGCTCAGCCCGCGGCCGGAGCCCCGCCCGGCTCGGCTCGGAGCGGGTGCGGACGGGAAAGCAGCCCCGCAGAGAAAGGCCGCCCGCGGAGGCCAGCGGGCAATTCGGTGTCCTAGAGGCTTCAGACCTGTCTTTTTCCGTTTAAGGCGAAGAGAGGGCAAGACAGAGAAATGAAAGGCCGAGGCCGGCCGGGACGGAGCTGGGGCGGCTCCTCGGGAGGAGGTCGGAGGTCGGAGGTCGGGGGTCGGGAACCGGGCCTGGGCCGCGGGGACGGGGAGACACAGTGGCACGTTTCGCCGACCCGGAAAGCCGAGCAGATAAGGCGGCACAGCGCGGTGGGCCGCCTTGGACAAGCCGGTCACAGAGGCTCCCTGTGGGGGGGTAACCCGAACAGAGCCGGGCAGCGACCCCCTGCCCGGGGCGGGGTGGGGGTTAAGGCAGACCCTCGAGGGCGGGCGCCCACCAGGCCGGGCCAGCGGGGCTCCTGTGAAGGGCTGGGGAGCCCAGCACCTCCCGGTGAGACCAGCTCTCCTGGGGCACCAAGTGCCACGGGGAAGCGGGCCTGGGGGGCGCTCGGGAAGAGCCTCGCTCAGCGCCACGAGGGGGTAGATACTCTGACCTCCGTCTGAGAGGACAGCAAACTCATCCCCCCTCACCGAGCGGGTCAGCACGGGGCCCCCCGGGGGCGCTCTGCCTCTGTCCCTCTCAGTCTCTGACTCTCTGTCTCTGGCTCTGTGTCTCTGTCTGTCTCTCTCCCTCCCTCCGCCGGCAGCCCGCACACCGGGCTTCCCTCCTGTTAAGGGGCCCCTGACGGAGCACCCGCACGGTGCCCTCTCCCCCCGCATCCTCTTGGTTTCCTTCGGAGGCTCGTGTAGTGTGTTTTTCCCAGCTGTTTTGTTCTTTCTGACGTGGGCACCTTGGCGACCAGGGCTGAACCCCGTTCTTGTCAGGAGCCCTGCTTCCCGTCCGCATCGTCGGTGAGGACACACCCCCACTCGGTGATGCGCCCCGGGCTCTCCTGATGCTGAGCTACCCCGTCCTGTTTGTAATTCAAGTTCGATGCTCGGGATGACTTTCCCCAGGGCTCTGGTACCTCCATCAGGGTCTCATGGTGGCTGTAGTGAGGATCATTCTAGAATGGAAACATCACCCTCCAGCCCCAAGGGCCGGGGGCTGCACCTGCAGCGGGCGGAGGCCTCCAGGGACCCTGTGTCTGCAGGTCTCCGGCTCTCTAAGCCCGCCCCCTCCCCCTGCCACCCGGCCACCATACAGCCGCTCTGCCCTCCCCGCTCCAAACGCGGCTCTGTCCCAGGCGTGTCTTCACCCTGCCCCTCAGGGACCGCGGGTGCCGATGCGCAGTCCCTCACTCTCGGGAGGGACAGTCAGACCCTGACCACCACCGCCCCCCGTGGTTCCTCACGGTCGGCTCCCTGCTCACGTCTGTCCCCGGAGGAGACTTTCTAGGGGACATGCAGTGGAGCGGGACCGACTGTGCCCATAGGGCACAGGCCTGGTTCAGGTCCACCTGGAGACGAGCTTTGAGGCACATGGTCCCAGGGCCCGGAACCAGCATTGTGCGAACAAGACAACAGGCCTCCCTACCACGCTGCCCAAATTCCCTCTGGAACCTCACTGAGTCCAGCTCTGTTTCCCAAAGGGGAAGGTTCAGCGCCTCGGGCGGTGGGGACCCCTCTGCCCTCCACTCCCAGGTGCCCAGCTGCCCTTGCTCTCTGACCTGTGGGCTCGGCCCCGCTGGTGAGAGATGCCAGCCTGGTGGGAAGGAGGGCTCCCCCAGAGATCTCTCCGGACCCCAGGCAACCTGTGGGCTGACAGCCCATCCAGGTTTGCTCTGGACAGAGACCCCCGTCCCCAGCACGCAGGGCCTGGCCGTCCGAGGCCTTCTCTGCGGGACGGTTCCCTTTGAGGAGGTCAAGGCGGGACGCGCAGAAACAGACCCTCTGGCTTGACCGTTTCTGGGAAGCCCGTTCGCATTGATTTTTGCAAACGTGCAGATCTCCTGTTTACGCAACTGCCCAGCCAGTGACCTTGGGAGCTCTCGTACTGGAACTTTGAAAGTTTGCTTAGCCAAGTTACGCAAAATGCAAACGGTACCGGGAAACATGGCACGTCCCGTCTGAGGTGACTGCTTTTTCTAGAAGCATGTCTGCTTTTCCTGGCTGTTTGGCTTGAGGGCCTGGAGCTGGTGCGGCCGGGAGGGCTCGACCTGGGCTGTGACCACTGGAGGAGGGGCGGCCCTCCTGCAGCCCCCCAGCACACACCTCGCTAGCAGGGTAGCAGGGGGGTGGCAGGGGCTAGCCAGAGCTGGGTTCGTGCTCTGGGCTGTGGCCTAGAGGCAGACTCCAGAGCCCCAGCCTGGCGACAGTCACACCCAGGGGCGTGCCCGTGGCTCTGCAGCCCATGTGGTGGGGCCCCCGGGGACGCAGCCGTGAAGCCACGTAGAGAGTCGGTCATTAGGTCAACATTAAAATGTCCCTGCCGACGAGCCCTGCTGGGCCCTGCCTTCCCAGGGAGCCTGCCTCTCCTGGGAGGTGACTGGGGGCCAGGAGGGCACGCGTGGGGAAGCCCCACCCGACCCTGGGGAGGGGGGCTGGCCTGGCGCCCCTGTGCTCCCAGAACCCTGCTGGTTTACACAGTACTGTTGTGAGCAGCCGGGGGGGCAGCTGGCGGCCTCCAGGACAGAGAAACGCGCTGTGAACAGAAAAGGCCCCTCAGTTTTTAAGACTTGGTCTGGGAGCCCTGGCCCATCCTATGTGGGTAGCACTTCCCGAATCCTGAAACCTCCCAGCTGGCGACGGGAAGGCAGGGTCCCGGGTTCCAAATGGACCTTCATTTCCCACTTCGGTGGAGCAAAAACAGAAGCAGGATAAGGAATCAACCCAGCTCTAATCACGGCGGGGAGGGAGGCCGGCTCAGAGCCCCGGTGCTGAGAGGAGGGAGAGGCAGGGGCTGCGAGGGGCAGTGGGGGGCTTCACTGGGGGCGCGGCTCCCCCCCGTCCCCTGTCCCCAGCCCGGCTTTCATGGACTTGTCAATCCACTTGAGGAAGTTGGTGACCTTGGTGTAGACGCCGTACTTCCCCTTCCGCGCGCACCCTTCGCCCCAACTGACAATGCCAGTGATGAAGTAGGTGTCCCTGAAGCGGGTGACGTGGGGGCCGCCGCTGTCGCCCTGGCAGGCGTCCTCGGGCTGCGTGTCGTAGCCGGCGCAGAACATGTTGGAGGTGATGGTGAAGCTGCTGGACAGCTTGCAGGTGTTCCTGTCCACGTAGGGCACCTCCAGTATCCTGAGCGTGGACGACAGGCGGCCCCGCTCGTGCGTGCGCCCGAAGCCACTGACGACGCCCGTCTTCTGGGTCAGCAGCGTGGCCTCGGCCCAGTCCTTCTCCGGCAGGCAGGCGGGCGCCACGTTCCTGCGGAACTTGATGGGCGTCTTGAGCCGCAGCACCGCGATGTCGAAGTCGTAAGTCTCCTTGACGAACCGGCTGTGCTTCACGGTCACCTCCACCTCGTGTGCCATCTCGTTGCCCTCCTCCTTCTCCGTGTCCCGGTCGCCTGCGGACGGGGACGTGGCCGTCAGCTGGGGGCCGCGAGGCCCTGCACGTCACTGACGCTTTAAAGCAGTTCCACTTTTTTTCTGCTTAGAGATTGGCACGTGGTCACTAGGAAATGTGAAATACAGGCGACTAGAGCGAGGCCAGTGTGACAGCCTATGGCTTCCCCGCCGGGGGCAGCGGCCACCCTCCCCTGGTCTGCCCGCGGGTGGGGCTGGGCACCGGGTCCGGCCTGCCGGACCTGCCCCCAGCCACGGGGCCAAGTGGGCACTGAGCAGAACCCACATGTGCCATGCGTGCCAAATCTCAGAATAAAAAACTAACTCAAAATACCTCAAGAGGACTTTACAAGCCAATTACAGGTCAAACTGACACTACTTTGGCTATACTGGGTAATGAGGTGTGTTACCGAAATGAGTATCACCTGTGGACTTTAAAACTAGAAGACATAAGGTAACTAGGAAGCTAGACATTACAGCCGTGGCTCGGGCACGTGGCTCGCCCTGGACTGTCATGGAGCAGCTCTAGGGTGTGGTGAGAAGGGGGACGTTAGGAAATAGTCCCCCAGATGCAAATGTGGGGCAGTGGTGGCGGCTGCTCAGACGGCTGGGGGCTCTGGGGGACTTCCCGGAGGAGAGGGCACGGCGGACCCTGCGTGCAGGGGGCAGGGGCGCCCCTCGTCCCCCGGCCTCCCTCTCCCCCTCAGGACCTCAGTATTTGAACTAGCGTTTCCGGCCAGCCTGTCAGTCCTAGTGCCTCTGAAACCCGGGGGCCCCGCACGGTGTGAGCGGCACTCACCTACCCTCACCGTGAACCGCTTGGCCTGCAGGAGACAGTGGGCCGCGGTGAGGACACAGAACTCACTCAGGATGGTGCCCCCGCAGAAGCCCTCGTTCTCCTCATTGACGAGCAGAGCCTGCGACGGGAGGGCCAGAGGTGCCAGGTGGAGCCTGACTTTGAGACCGTTAGCCCAAGCCTCCTCCCCGTCTCCCCACCACAGTGGGCCTGCCCCCCGGGAGGACTCGTGGGGTCTTCGAGCTGGAACGAGGACCAGGCCAGCGCAGCCCCACGCCCACCCCCAGGGGCCGTGCTGCCTTGCGCCGCCCGTTCTTGGAGCGGGCCCACCGTGTACCCCACGGCCCTGCCGAGGGCCCAGCACTACAGCTGAGGGGCTTCTCCCCACCCAGATCCAGCCCCTACCCGTCTGTATTTCCCGGCTCCGGAAGGCCCCTCAGCAGCTCTATGTGCAGAAGAACTGCTGTCTGTTGTCTCTGGTGTGAATTAGGCCCCAGACCAGGCAGACGCCAGGCTCTGGACGAGACACTTGCTACGCTGGGCCTGGGGACGCTTCCACCGTCCGGACCCCCTCCCGCGGCTGTGGGTGCTACCATTCAAGGCCGGTTCCTGGGATCCACGTGGCTGCTCCTGACAGGACGTGGGGCGGGGAACACTCCCCCGGGATGGGGTGCTGACTGGGCGAGTGAGAGCACAGACCCTTCCCCTATTTTCCTTCTCCCCAAAGAGCTGGGCTGGCAGATGCCGAGAGAGCGTTTTCTGCTTTCCCTTCTCTGGGGACTCGCCCTTCTCTAAGCAACAGCCATGGGTTGAGAGGGGGCAGGTTAATGAAACTCTCAACAATGTCAAGTTCTAAAAAAACTTTGGAGGACGTTCATGACTGGCATGAAGTCGTGATGTTTTGTTTTTGTTTTTGCATAATTTATCAGCTCATAACCCCACTTGTGGGACAAGTGAGGAGGGTCAGTCTTCCTAAGACTTGGGACACTGACTGTCCTTCCTGGAAACGGACATGAGGCAACTGGCCAAGTCTGGGGACCCTCCCGTGAGGCTCCTCCTGCCCGCTCCCCGGAGAGCCCCATGCGAGCCCCTCTCAGAGCCCCGTGTCCGCCCCCGCCCTGTGGGGAGCCGCCCTCCTTTCCCAGTGGGAATTCACATGCTCCACAGGTACCACGTTCCTGGCCCTCTCACGCAGCAACTTGAATTGTGGGGATTTGGCGGGGGGCTCACCTCCCTTCCTAGGTCGTGATGCCACACGTGAGAGAAGAGGCCCTGGCGCTTTCAGACCCACACGCACAACACCCAGGCAGCCCTGACCCACGACACGCTCTCCGTGGATGGTGACTAGGTTTTGGCGTGTCCTTGCTCGGGCTCGTGATAATTCAGATAAGCGCACACCTGCCTTGTAGCCGGTGAGGGCCAGCTGACGTCATTCCTAAGGGTTGTCGGCAGCTCTGGGAATATTACTCGTAGGAGAAGGCATTTTGGCTTTGGACACTTAAAGTCCAAGTGAGGGTTCTGGGTAGAATAGAGGCCCCCAGTTAAATCTGACTCAAGTAAATAGCAAATCATTTTCAGTGTGTGTCCCGTGTGATATTTGGGACATACTCACATTAAAACTTATTTATTGTTTATCTGAAATTCAAATTTAAGTGGAAACCTGTGTTTTCATTTGCTAAGTCTGGCAACTTTAGTCCAAATCAACAACCAAAGAGTGAGTTTTCACCTTTGAAAACAGATGGGTATACTTTTTGCTAAGGTACCGTCTGCCTCATTAGGACTTGGGTGTTTGGGTAAAAAAAATCTACCAAATTAGAAATGAAACAGGGAGAGCAACTCTTTCCGCCTCCCGTCGAACCAAAGAGCAAGCAGAGGCCTCAGGGGAGCTGCCCTCCGCCCACGGCCCGGCCCGCCCCCCGCCCCGCTGCCGCCCGAGCTGGAGCCCCTTCAGCCCCTTCTCTGCCTGGGCGGGAGCGGGGGCCGGGCAGAGAGGGCAGAGGCCCGGCCTCTTCAACCTCGGCTCCTTCCGCCGCCGCCCACTCAAGTCTGCTGCGGGCCCGCGTGGGCCGGGCGCCCGGCGTGGCAGCCCCCACCCAGCTCACCGGCCGCTGAGCTGCGCGCGGTTACCTGCCAGGGGCACTCCCCGTCTTCGCAGTTCCTCCCGCCCACTATCCGGATCAGGTGGCTCTCGTCCTCCGTGGGGCTGGGCTCTGCCCCGTTGAGGCCCAGCAGGTGGAGGGAGCTCTCGGTGGGGCCCAGGTCTCCGCGGTCGTACTGCTCCGGCACGCCTGCTTCAGGGGCCTCCCCGCTGCCGTGGGCGGCCGACCGCCTGCCGCGTCCCCGGGTGTGCTTCCCGCAGGGGAAGGGCTCTGGAAGAAGGGCAGTCGGGCCTTAGCCTCGCGGAGGCCTCCCTGCAGGGCCCACGCAGGCCACTCCGAGGAGGAGCCCGAGAAGCGGGCCCTGGGGGAGTGGGGCGCCCTGTGTCCTGCTAGGGCTGGGCTGCGGGTGGGAGCCCTGACCTCTGGCCGGCCAGCGTGCAGACGCGCGTAAGGGGCTCTGCGTCTACTGGGACGCCTATGGAAGTCGGGTGGCTGTGGCAGGACAGAGGACCGTGGGGCTGCGGGGGACACGACTGGTACATGGAGACCAGGATGGCAGACAGGGGGCTGGGGCGCTCAACCCCTATAGTTCTCTTAGCCCCGCTGTGTGTTGGAAAACATTTCCTAATGAAACGCTGAAGAGAAAGAAGTGTTCTGGGCAGGACGAGCGGCATGCGGAGCTTTGTCAGGAACAGCTGAAGGATGACAGCAACCCTTACAAGCGCCAAGCAAGGGAGGGGCCAGGAAAGACCAAAAAGCGCCCTTTCGTATCCTTACCAACTAGGCAACCGAGGCAGAGCGGGGGCGAAGCAGAACAGAGGCAGGGGAGCTGGGGGCCGCACATCTGAGGCCGTCCCCCGTGTGTGTTCTGGTGGCACTTGCCCCGCAGGGCCCACGGGTGCGCTGGGAGTGTGCTCGGTCGCTCGCTCGCAGAGGAGAGCTCTCCCCACGCCAGCCGCCTCTGCCTTAGCATTTGTGATCAGTGCGCCCTGAAGTTCTGCACCAGCTCGTCCATGACTTAGAACAGAACTTTCTGCACCAGGAAGTAGTTTACCTGATTTTATTTTCAAACATCAAACTTTATTTTAAATTGATCTGTAATTATTCCTGGAATTAAAAAAATTTTGCAAGCATGTTAAGCAACGACTTCAATTAAAATATTTTTGGGGGGCTTCCCTGGTGGCACAGTGGTTGAGAGTCCGCCTGCCGATGCAGGGGACATGGGTTCGTGCCCTGGTCCGGGAAGATCCCACATGCTACGGAGCAGCTGGGCCCGTGAGCCGTGGCCGCTGAGCCTGCGCGTCTGGAGCCTGTGCTCCGCAACGGGAGAGGCCACAGCAGTGAGAGGCTCGTGTACCGCAAAAAAAAAAAAAAAAATCTCATTACCAATAGAAATGTAAATCTCACTGTCCTCTACCTGTTGAGAGATTTAATTTTACACAATTGCCACTGCCCTGGAATATGCCCACCTCTACAGTGGGCCCGGGACTCTGCATTCCTCACCACCCCAGATAATGCCAAGGCTGCGGGCCAGCTGGGGCCTGCTGGAGGAGGAGCTGGGGTCACCCCAAGAAGGAGCCCGAGTTGAGAGGGGCACGGCCGGCCCCCGCCCCACAGCAGAGGAGTCCCGGTCAGGCAGGACTCCCCATGGGGTGTGAGATGGGGCCTCTCCCACCACCAGGACCCCCAGGACCCAGGCCCTCACTCAGCCCTCCGTGAGCTTCTGGGCCAGATGCATGGCATCTGGCTTTTATCACGGAAAAAATCTTCTGTTAACATCAGGACCCACACAACCCAAAACGGTGCTGGAGGGCCCTGGGTTCCCCTTCTGCCCCTGCACCCCCTCCCCGGCTCCTCGGCCGGCCCACGGCTCTGGCCCTTGAAACTCCAGCCTCCCAAGCCCCTGCCCTTCCGAGAGGGACGGGGACACCATCGTGGCAGCTGCAAAGTGGCCACTTGGGATTTGCTGCGAGCCGGGCACTGGGCAAAGAGACCTCCACGCGTTACCCTCACGCTCCACGTGCCCCCAGGAGAGCTGACAGCACTGGCCCGTTTCTCAGGCGGTTCACAGAAACAGTGGGTCTGTCTCCAAACCACGAGCCCCACCGGGAGCCCAGCCTGCGCCCCTCCTACCTGTGGAGACGCAGGACTTGCCGTCGTCGCCCAGGTCGTACCCGCTGGCGCACGAGCACAGCACCGCGCTCCGCTCCTCCCTGCAGAACTGGTCGCAGCCCCCGTTGTCCAGGCTGCAGAGCTCACGCGTGGCTGCGGAAGAGCCGGGAAGCTGAGGGTGCAGCCCTCCCGGGACGTGCCGTCACCCGCCGGTGCCACGGTGCCCACCAGCCGGCGCCCCGGGCAGGCCCCTCCCCGGGGGCCAGGGAGCCCACACAAGCCCAGGGAAGGCCTGGAGGCTGAAGGGTCTCAAGTTCAGCCCTAAGAAGGGCGTGGCGGCGCTGGCCAGCGAGGTGGGAGCTCAGGCCGAGAGTAGACCACGGCGTCCACTCTGAGGCCTCAGTCCCCCGTGGCATAAAGCACCTGGGGTCCATCCCCAGACGGGGGTCTGGCTCCCGTGCGGCGGGAAGGAGGGGTGGTAGCCACGTCCCGGACTCAGGCCAGCTCCCAGTTGGCCATCGGTCTCCAGCTGTGTGATTTGGGCACGTTATTTAAACCCCACGGCCTGTCGCGTCCCTTGTAAAGGGGTGGAGACCACCCAGCCCCCAGGAGCGCTGTCCAGGTCCCGCGAGGCACCGGGCACAGGGGCCCTCACCGCCAGACTGTGCCAACGTGCACCGGACATCAGGCCCCAGACTCACCAGTCATGCCGCCCTGGCAGCTGACTTTACATTTCGCCACTGAGTTTTGATGAAAGAATAGTTACGGGGCAAACATTAAAGACATTTTAGAAAACATTCCTGACAGCCCCAGCGTCAGCAAAACGGTATTTGGGGAAGCTGCTCTGGACGGTGGATGGAAGGGTGCACGACTGATACTCCCACTGGGGAAAACTCAGAAGTATCCAATCGAAGAGCATGCTCTGAAGATTAAAGATTAAGAAATTTAAAAAGAAGCTTGAATTTTTCTCCTCAGGGAGAAACTGGCCTAATTCTAACCTAATTTTTATTAAAAGTTAATCACTGTATCAGGAAAACTCAGTGGTTTTTCCACGCAGAATTAATTGTACCAAATGTTTATATAATAATGTTATAGAATTGGACAATCCTGATCATTCAGCACTGACATTCGCACGAATTTCCAGGATCCCGACAAGCAGGAGAAACATCCTCCTCCGAGGAAAGAAACGTCGGTTCTCGTTTCCAGGTGAAGGGGCCCCACCCTTCGGGAACGTTCGTTCCACAGCCGCTCCTCAGAGGGGCAGAGGAGTGCCTGGTATCCCGTCCTCCACGCTGGGGACTCTGACTCGTGTTCCGCTGCCTGCAGCGGCACAGCCTCACGGAGCACAGGCTGAAGCCCACGTGACCGAAGAGGGTTTCCCTGGGCCTCTAGCTTCTTCCTGCATTCCCACCTGGCCTCGGCAGGGGGCTCTGACCTGAAGGTCCACCAAGAAGAGGAACTCACGTAATTCACAGTTTTGGCCTTCAAATCCTTCTAAACAGGTGCATGTGTATTCCCCGAGGCCATCTTTACATATGCCCTGATTCAGGCAAGGACGGCTTTCACACTGGTCACCATCTGCGCAGAAAACATTTGGAAACCACAGCTTGCAGGCAATTCCCCTCATCGTGGAAACGATTTTGCTGGTTGATTCTGGCGCGGTTCTCAGCTAACTTGAATGAACCTGGGATTCTTCCTGTTTTCCTGTAAACAAGCTGTCCTGTCTGGACTTCGTTACCACTGCCCCCCCCCCCGCCCCCCCCCCCCCCAAGCTTTGTGGCTACGTGCACATGATGCCTCTATCTAGCTGGATTGCTGACTGAGTTTTCCAATTTTTGCTGAGATCTCTGACCGTGTTTTTACAATCACTGACAACGTTTATCCATCACAGAGCGGAGCCCTGTGCTGGTGACCACATGGGGTCAGCTGGAAGGAGGGAGGATAAGTGATTGCTGGACACTTGTTTCTGGGCTGGGCATCGACAAGACGGTTCCTATTTCCAATGGTTTGGGTGTAAAAGGAGAAGGAAAAGTTCCTGTACAGCACTAACATGGGACTTCACATTTCTTGGGGCATTTGTACAATACAGTTTAGAGACAGGTCCAGTTGTCATTCTGAGAAACCTGAATACTGTTACCAGAATGAAAACATTAGTTATGATAAATACCATTTCAGACGCTATAAGCATTAAATCAAGGTGGTTACCTTATGAGAGGACCCAGTGTTTCAGACTCCTATTTTTTGTTTCTACCTAATATACTTGGGTTTAAAAAAATTATCATGGAATTTGGTATCCTCAAATGGGAATGAACCGATTTAAATGTATATAAGTAACAAAACTAGAATTAGTATAAAGCTACTATAAAAAACTATTTTACGATCACTATTATGGAAACACTCAGAGGGGAAAAGTCTTAGATAAGTAAAACTTAAACAGGAGCAGAAAGGAAATTCAGGAAAATCTTCAAAGTTTGAATACAGTCTCTCCCGATTTAAATACCCTGATGAACCCCTCTCACTCAAGACTGAAACAGAAGACATCTCACCTTTGTATATATTCCAGAATTCATTCTAAAAGGGAAAAAAAATTTTAAATGCATTATGGAAAAGAGACATTTTACACCAATAACAGTGACAATCTAGTAACTCAAGCGAATAGGCTATTTCCCAAGCAGAGGTCATTTTCTGGAACAAAATGCCCTAGAACTATTCAACCTGAAAGGGAAATGTTTTCAGATCTCCTGCATTTGTAAAGCTGTGGCTTCATTCATCTTTTTTTTTTTTTAATACAATACATGTTTGTGTAATAAATGATCATATCCCAATACAGCCTAGCGTCCATTTTCTTGCCTGCTCACACAGTTGAACATGGCATCTGGGAAACATTTTGTAATATTAAATGTACTTTTCTAACTTTCATCCTAGCAAAATCACTAACGGTATGATCACAATCAAGATTTTCACATTATTTGCTTCAACTGTTAAGTAATTCGAAATTAGATTACTTTTCTTGAACCACAAAAGTTTCTATATAGCTTTTATTTGTTTGTTTTTCACTAATCTCAGTTTGGAGAAACTGTGCTGAGACAACAGCAACTGAAGTAAAATCTCTAAAGTAATTGCTTAGATTCAGAAGCAAACCGTACACTTTATGTATCACATGCAAACACTGTAATAAATTCATAATGACAAATAATTGTAATTCTAAGACAAAGTATTCTAATTTCATCATATACAACATTATCATATAATTTTTTACTATCTCTTAAATCAATACCTATATCCAGGCTTTTATATGAAGAATCAGTGTTATACTTCACACATATTACATCAGACCTACATGTATATCAATTTAAGATTAATATGAATCATTTAATATTACAAAATGTTTCCCAGGTGACATGCTCGATCATCTTAATTGCACTTTATTAAATATTGAAAATTTATTTTCAAATTAATTACCAAGAAATGGATTGTACCAAAAATGGTTTGCTCTATTTGCTACCCCCAAGCCAATCAATAAAGTGGTTTTACATTAAGATACCTGGGTCAAAGATTCAAAACAGGATCAGATGGTTGGAGAATAATCATTATGTTACTTGAAAAAAAAGATAATTGGTAATTAGTTTAAAATAGGGCATCAAGAGCCTATGTAACACTGAAAAGAAATGTTCATAGTCTTAAAACAATTTTTCTCTATCTATAGTAGGTTAATTAGTGTCTCCCCTACTCCCCGGCCCCAACTTAGGTGCAACCTCAGAATTTGACTTTAATGGAAAGAGGGTCTTTGCAGATGTAAATAAGTTATGGATCGAGAACAGCTCGTACTGGATTAGGGTGGACCCCCAATCAATGAGAGTGTCCTTACAAGAGACATAAAATATCACACAGGCCACACAGAGAGAAGGCTGTGTGAAGGTGCAGGCAGAGAGTGGAGTGATGTATCTACCGGCCAAGGAACAGCAAGGGCTGCTGGTCGCCCCCAGAAGCTGGGCGAGAGGATGGAACAGATCCTCCCTCAGACCTTCCAGAAGGAACCAAGCCTGGTGACACTTTGGTTTCGACTTGTGGTCTCCAGAACTGTGAGGGAGTAAATTTCTGTTGTTTTAAGACATCCAGTTTGGGGTGCTTTGTTACAGAAGGCCTAAGAAATGACTACACTGTCTTTTAAATTTTTTATTTAAAAATTTATCACACAGTAAAACTGACTTTGGTGTACAATTCTATAAAAGCCAACACATGTATAGATTTGTATAATCACCGCCACAACCGAGACGCAGAACAGCTCCATCTCCCCCAACCTTGCCAGCCACTGGCCACCCCCGCTCCGAATGCCCAGCACGAGTCTGCTCTGCGTCACTACAGTCATGACGTCTTGAGGATGTCCTGTAAATGGACTCATACGTGATGTAACCTTGTGAACCTAGCTTCCTTCATTCAGCATAGTGCCTCTGAACCTGAAATGCATTCGGGTTACTGTGCATGTCGATCGTTTGTGCTCGTTCACGGATGAGCAGTGCCCCACTGTGTGGCGAACCACGCTTTGTTTATCCATTCACCCAACAAAGGACATTTGTACTGTTTCTAGTTTTCGGCAATTATGAATAGAGTTGCTATAAACATTTATGTACAGGTTTTGTTGAAAAAGTTTTCAATTCTGTACAGTAAATACCCAAGAATGGGATTGCTGAGTCACATGGTAACTTTTAAGAAACTGTCAAACTGGTTTTCAGACTGGCTGTACCATTTTGCGTGCCCACAGCAATGTATGAGCTGTGGTCGCTCCACATCTTCACCAGCACTTGGTTTTTATTCTAGGTGTCTAGTGGCATCTCGTTGTGGGTTTTTTTTTTTTGGGGGGGGGGCGCACCTTGCGGCATGTGGGACCTCAGTTCCCTGGCCAGGGATCGCACTCATGCCCCCTGCAGTGGAAGCATGGAGTCTTAACTACTGGACCACCAGGAAGTCCTTCATCATGGTTTTAATCTGCATTTCTATAATGGCTAATAATATTGAATATCTTCTCGTATGCTTATTTGCCATCCATGTATCCTCTTTGCTGAAGTGTCTGTTGAAATCTTTAACTCACTGTATTTAATTGGGTTGTTTATTTTCTTCTGTTGACTTGCGAGGGTTCTTTATATATTCTGACCACAAAACTTTTGGCAGATATGTGATTTGCAAATATTTTCTTAGTCAATAGCTTGTATTTTCATTCTCTTAATGTTTTTCACAGAGCAAAAGTTTTAAATTTAGAATAAGTCTAATTTATCTACATACTTTTTATGGATTATACTTTTGGTGTCACGTCTAAGAATTTTTGCCTAACTTAACTTTCTGTCATGAAAATTTTCTCCTAAAAGTTTCCTGTTTTATCTTTAGAGCTATATGGTCCATTTTGAGATAATATTTGTATAGTTGTGAGGTTTAGGTCAAAGCTGACCTTTTTTTGCATACAGATGTAGAATTATTCCAATACCATTTATTGAAAAAGAGAATTCTTTTTCTATTGAAATGCTTATGCACCCTTGTCAAAATCAATTGGCCAAGGACTTCCCCAGTGGTCCAGTGGGTAAGACTCTGTGCTCCCAATGCAGGGGGCTCAGGTTCGATCCCTGGTAGAGGAACTAGATCCCGCATGCATGCCACAACTAAAGATCCCGCATGCATACCGCAACTAAAGATCCCGCGTGCGGCAACGAAGATCCCGCGTGCTGCAATAAGACCCGGCACAGCCTAAATAAATATTAAAAAAAAATCAACTGGCCATATTTGCATGGGTCTATTTATGGACTTTCTATTCTGTTCTTTTGATCTGTGTGTTTATCCCTTTACCAATACCACACATCAATATCGCTACGATTTTATTTATTTATTTATTTATTTATTTTTGGCTGCTTTGGGTCTTCATTGCTGTGCGCGGGCTTTCTCTAGTTGTGGGGAGCAGGGGCTACTCTTCGTTGCAGTGCATGGGCTTCTCACTGCAGTGGTTTCTCTTGTTGCGGAGCATGGGCTCTAGGCACACAGGCTAGTTGCAGCACTCGGGCTCAGTAGTTGTGGCTCATGGGCTTAGTTGCTCCGCGGCATGTGGGATCTTCTGGGACCAGGGATTGAACCTGTGTCCCCTGCACTGGCAGGCGGATTCTTAACCACTGCGCCACCAAGCAAGTCCCTTATCTCTATGATTAATGTAGATTTACAGTAAGTCTTTAAATCAGGTAGTGTGATTCCTCCAATTTTATCTTCTTTCTCAAAATTGTTTTAGCTATTCTAATTCCTTTGTTTTTCCATATTACAAATATTGAATCAACTTGTCTTTATCTGATGGAAGTTTGGCACTGCATTAAATCTATATATCAAATTGGGAAGAGTCAATATTTTAATATGTTATGACTTTCAAACCATGAACATTCTATGTCTATTTATTTAGGTCCTCTTCCTTTCGTTAGCGTTTTGCAGATTTCAGCATACAGGTCGTGTTTTATTAGATTTACACATAGATATTTTTCTTTGGAGCAACAGTAAGTGGCATTAATTTTTTTGTTTGTTTCTAACTGCACATTACTACTACACAGAAATACAATTAATATTTGTGTGCTGACCTTGTATTCTGTGACCTCGCTAGACACATACATTTTAGGAGTATTTTTTCCAGATTCCATGGGATTTTCTATGTAGATAATCATGTTACTTGCAAATAGGGAGTTTTATGTCTTTATCTTGGTTTATTGTTATACCTTCCTTATGGCTAGGGTTTCCAGTACAATGTTGAATTGGGAGTATTAGAAATGGACATCCTTGCCTTTTTCCCAGTATTAGAGGGAAAGCATTCAGTTTTCACCATGATATCAGTTGTAGGTTCCTTGTTAATAATCCTTATCATGTTGAAGAAGTTCCCTTTTAATTGTAGTTTGCTGAAAGGTTTCTTTTTAAATAACTGTTTTATTTACTTATTTAAAAATATTTATTTTTAAATATTTATTTATTTTTGGCTGCACTGGGTCTTCGTTGCGGCATGTGGGATCTTTTAGTTGCGGCATGCGTGCAGGATCTCATAACCCTACCAGGGATCAAATCCCTGCCCCCTGCATTGGGAGCACAGAGTCTTACTCACTGGACCACCAGGGAAATCACTGAAAGGTTTTTTATCATGAATGGATGTTGAATCTTGTCAGGTGCTTTTTCTCTATCAGTTGATATGATTATGTGGATTTTTCTTCTTTAAACTGGTGGATTACACTATTGATTTTCAAATACTGAGCCAGCCTTGTGTGCCCCAGATAAACCCACTTGGTCATTGTGTATTCTTCTTTTTTAACATATATTGCTTTATTCAATTTGCTAATAATTTGTTGAGAATTTTTATAAGAGGTTCATGAGAAATGTCGTTATATAGCTTTCTTTCTACCTTCCTCCCTCCCTTCTTCCCTCTTTTTCTCTTTCTTCTGTTTTTGTGGGTTTTGGCATCAGGGCAATGCTGATAGAAAACAAACTTACAAGTGTTCCCTTTTCGTTTCTAGAAGAGATTACACAGAATTGGTGTTATTTCTTCTTTAAATGTTTGGTAAAACTCACCAGTGACACAGTCTGGACCTGGACATTTCCTTTACAGAAGGTTTTTAACTAAGAAGTTGAATTTGCAGATATCTCTGTTGTACTATGTGTTTTGGTAATTCATGGTTTTGAGGAATTGGTCCATTTCATCCAAACTGAAATTCCATCCAAATTTGTGCATGGAGTTGTTCATTGTATTCTCTTATTATCCTTTTAACATATGCAGGGTCTGTAGTAATATCTCTTCTTTCATTCCTGATACAATTCATGTGCTTTTTTTTGCCAATCTTGTTAAATTTTATCAGTTTTACTGATTTTCTCTATTATTTCAAATTATTTCTTCAATTTTATTGATTTGTCCTCTTTTGAATTTATTTTGCCTTTTTTTTGTCTGTGTGTCTTAAGGTGGAAGCTTAGATTATCAATTTGAGAACTTCTTTTCCTATAAAAACATTTCATGCTATAAATTTCCCAATAAGCACTGTTTAGCTGCATCTCACAGATTTTGTATGTTATATATTCATTTTTGTTCAGCTGAGAGTATTTTCTTTTCTTTTTTCAAAAAAATTATTTATATATATTTTTATTTTTGGCTGTGTTGGGTCTTACTTGCGGCACACGGGATCCTTGTCACAGCATGCGGGATCTTTCGTTGCGGTGCGCGGGCTTCTCTCTAGTTGTGTCGTGTGGGTTTTCTCTCTCTAGTTGTGGCGCACGGGCTCCAGAGCATGTGGGCTCTGTAGTTTACAGCATGTGGGCTCTCTAGTTGAGGCGCGTGGGCTCAGTAGTTGTGGCGCGTGGGCTTAGCTGGCCCATAGCATGTGGGACCTTAGTTCCCCAACCAGGGATCGAACCCACGTCCCCTGCACTGGAAGGTGGATTCTTTACCACTACACCACCAGGGAAGTCCAGAAGTATTTTCTAGCTTCCCTTGAGACTTCTTCTTTGACACGTGGATTATTTAGAGAATTCCCTGGCGGTCCGGTGGTTAGGACTCTGAACTTTCACTGCTGAGTGCGTGGGTTCAAACCCTGTTTGGGGAACTAAGATCCCACAAGCTGTGCAGCATGGCCAAAACAAACAAACAAACAAACAACTTAGCTCTTTAAAATTATAAGTATGGTAGTTCTAAGGAAGTAAGGAAGAGTGTTTGGGAAATGATGCTTAGGAAAAAGGCAGAACATGAACTTGGCACTACAATTATTTTTATAGTTTAAAAAAACTGTTACGTGTACGTGAATTAAAGGAACATTTTAAAAATAAAAACAGTTCCTGAAATTATGAATAACTTTTTAAAAGAGATAAATCATTCACTTGGTAACAAGGAGTAAAAATGAATTCTTAATTCCTCTTCTCTCTTCTGGTGGCTGAAATGAACTACGGTAGTCAAATGGATAGCAACACAAGAATTCCCTTGCAGACCTTGACCTTTTGCAGGAATGCAAAGATGTCTGAGTCATACAACTTACCAATTATTATTTTCTAGACAGAAGTGCCAACTATTGTGCTTTTCAGTGTATCAGTGGTTGCCACATTCTCCTTACCTTCAGGTCTCATGGCAGGAAACAGAAGTACTTCCTTGATGTTACCGTAGACTGTGAGAAACACGGTGATGCAGCCAATGTCCATGCCACAGCCAGATGGGGGGGCAGCCTGGATTCCAGGCGGTATAGAAGTTTTCATCTATGAACATCATCCTCGTTGGTGGCTCTGGCCTGTTGTTTAAAAGCCTCTGGCTGCTGTATGGGACTATGTAACCCAGTGTAAGCACCGCACACTTCCCTCCTCATGACAAGCAGCTCAATCTGCTCAGTGAGACCCAGAGCAGTCTGTCTGGCCGTTATCTGTGGGCGATCACCGATGAGTGGGTCACTGCTGCAAGCCACTTTCAGGGACTCTGACAAGTTTAGCAAGGAGTCTGCCCGTGGTCTAAGGTTGAGGACATTCAGCAGTTTTTGCGACACAGATGTGATCAATAATTTTTTCAGTCTCTTCCGTTCTGAAGAGGTTAGTTTCCGGCAGCTTCACTCCCAGGTTTTTCTTGAGCCCTTCTACTGTGCTCATTCTCCAGAAGGGTGGGGTGGAGTCCATCTCATGGGTTTGGCCTGCTGGGCTGACTGGGTGGTGGGTGGTCTTGTAACTGCCCATAACATGTTCAGCATCCCTGATATGATATCCATGATTTCACGAGATCATAATCGGCCAGGTAAAACTCACGAGTGGTGAGTTCGAGTCAAACCGTCTGGAACTGGCATCCAACATCACAAACGCAGTCAATGCCACCAACTACCAGCATTTTACAGTTGGAGTTCTGGAGCAGTTCTTACACGTAGTTCATGTCCAACTTGCTGTGCCAGGTGATGGAAAGCTTGGTCACAGCTCCCCGTGAAGCGGCATTCAGCATGGGAAGTTCATCTAGGAACCCCAACTCTTCCAAGAAACTTATTCTACACATGATCATCTTGGCGTGCGGGACACACTTCTTCCTCACAAAGTCACTCTGGCTGGAGTCAGAATCTCCGATGATACCGCCTTTCCTCGCCTTTCGGCCAAAGGGGGATGAGGTGCCCATGGAAGCAAGAAGACAGTAATGCGAGTCTGTGGAGCTGAGGGACTCTCGGCTCTGCTCCTCGTTCTTCCCAGGATTCTCTGGACTCCACAAGGCAGTCTGCTATAGACTTGAGTAAATTCTTCTTCCGACTGAACATTTCTCCACTCAGCCATGGCTTGTAAGTGGACCTGTCCTCCAAGGGCACAGCTCTTCTGCCACCTTTAAGGTGAGCCAGGCCGGTGGCGTCCAGGCTGCCGCGAGCAGGTGGGAGTCTACATGAGCCTGTGTGGCACGGGTCCCCCAGCGCCCAGACTCCGCTGGACACTCCACTGCGGGCCCGTGGTGTGGACGGGCCCGCTGTCCGAGGTGTGGACAGGTCCGCCATCTGCGGCCAGGCTGTCTCTCGTGGGCTCCTGCTTGGCCTCCTTCTCCGCCACTTTCTCCTCAGCCTTCAGGCGTCTTCAGCTCGCGGTTGCTCAGTTTTGGCTCGCGGCCGTCCACCTCCACCTCGGCCCCTGCACCGCAGCCAAGCCGCGCCACGGCCTGACGCAAAGTGCCACACGACAGCACGACGGGAGGTGGCTAACGGACCTCAGAAACTTCCGGGGCAGCATCGGAGGCCCCACCTCTTCCGGGGAGGGGCGGGTGCTTTCGCGCCGCCGCCGCCGCCGCCGCCGCGCAGGCACGGAACGGGGCCTCGACGCCGCGTTCGTCCTGCGCCTGCGCACCGACCCACCCTGCGGTCTCAGGACCAGAGCCCTTTGGCGAGTATGGCGGCGGCTGAGTGGGCGAAGCGCCGGGGCCTGGGGTCCTTGTGCACTGCCGAGGCCGACAGCGCGTTCTTAGATAAACATTTTGCGTTTTAAGGTGGACCTGACAGCGCTTCAGAAGCCCCCGCAGCCCTGTAAGTGCGTCCTGGCCGCGCCGCCCCTTACCGTCTTCTCCGTGTCCTCGAAGACCTCGCGGGCCTCCTCATACGAGCAGGCCTCCTCTAGGCACTCCCTTTCCAGGTTTCCCTTCTTCACCTCCTCCAAAAACGAGTTGGCCCTGCGGACTCTCTGCAGGACGCTGTGGGCCTGGTCCCGGGGCAGGAACACTGTGGTGGGGAACGCGGCTGTCACGTGCTCGCCCACATGCGGTCCCGTCCTCGGGCCACCCCCGCCCCCGCGAGTGACGGGTCAGACGCCTGCCCCGTCCTGCACGCGCACACCCGGCCCCGCGCTGAGACCCGAGCCCTCCTTCTGGAGCTCGCCCTTCGGTCCCTCTTGCCTCCCCTGGCCTTCCACTCCGTTCTGTGGCTCAGCTGTTCCCCTCCGCGCCCCCTCCCCACCCTTCAAGGTCTCAGCTCTGCGTTAGGTGGGGAGGTGACATGGTTTTGCACGATCTACAATTAGAAGTATGATTTGTTTCAAGTCCCAGGACACACGTACACAAGAGTAAAACAAAGTTTCAAGAAATAGTGCTTACTATTATTTTCTACAAAACAGTACTTGTGACAAAATTTTCTACTTCTGTCCTGTTTCATTAAAAAAAAAAAAAAAAAGCCCACTAAATTGACCTGCCAGTTAAAGTGTGCTGGCTCAGAGATCTCCCCCATCAGGGATCTCTCCCCTCTCCCCTCAGTAGTCCCTTCCGAGCTGCCTGGGTCTCCCCGGTCTCACCCACTCCTCTTCCCCTTTTCACTGTGCTGTGGGAGGCCCTCAGGTCCTTTTCTTGGCGCTCTGCCCTGCTCTCTGCCTCTTTTCTGCTGGGGAATTGAGAGTCTCACCATAAGGAAGATGACTCTCCAAGTTGGTATTTCTAGTCCCAACTTCCATCGTGAGCTCTGTGTTTTCAGCTCTCTCACAGCGATGGATGTCTGCCCTCACATCAGAACTCCAGACTCCCCATGTCTGAAACTAAAAAACAGGACTGCAGAATCGAACTGTCTTGAGTGGCAAATGCATCTTGGTCGCCTACTACTGAATATTGGCAAGTGGGAATTAGATACGTACTTCTTAGAGTTGTTTTAAAGAGTGTATAGAACTCCGAGCGTTCACTCGATCCTACCTCAAGTTACTTTCCCTTCCAAATTCCCCATTTCTTTTAGTGGCACCTATGTTTTCCCAGCAAGGCCAGGCCCACGTTTGTTCTGTGTGGGCCCATCCTCCATTATTCCAAACACCTGCTCCTCCAGGGAGCGCTTGCTTTGAAATACAAGCCACACACCCATTCCTCCCCTCCCTCCTTCCCCTACTTGGTCCCCGCCCCCCCCCCATTTGGTTTGTTTCTCTTTCTCACTTTTCATCCTTTCCTTCTCCTTCTGCCTGGGCCCCTGAACTTCCACGTCACCCAGAGTGCAAACATGCAGACAGGCCTCCGGGGCTGCCTCCACTCTGCTCTGTCCTTTCTGGCTTCGTCTCTTGGACAGGTCTGGAGTCCCAGAAAGCCTAGAGCCCCCTGGCGGAGCCAGCCTGAGGGTGGTGGCACTGGCCGTCATCCTCTTCCCTGCCATGGAAGCTCCTCTCTGCCTGTGACCCCCTAGCCTCTGTGCTCGCAGTTTGCTCTGGCAGAGGAAGGAGGCTTCTCTCTGTCTCTGCCACTGCCCCCCTCCCCCTTCCTCCATCTCCCTCCCTCTCTGTCTCTGTCTCTCTCCCTCCTTCTCTGCCCATGTTTCTGTCTGTCTTTGTGATCTGTGATCTGCTGTCTGACTCTCCACCCACAGGGAGGCACACCTGGCCCTAAGATACGCTTGGCTGAAACCACCAAGCCAGGCTCTCGTGCCAGCCTCCCACAGGGGATGGGCACCCACTCTCCACACTGTGGAAGTTCAGGGGCATCGCCCTGACCCCTCACCCTCTCTCCTCCTCCCCAGGGCCACCCCTGCAGTCTGCAGGGTGAGGGGCACTTACCACTTGCCCCCGGCAGCAGGAGGCCAGCCAGGGAGGCGCCGAGAAGGAAGAAGCACAGCCAGCTCGCCATGGTGTGGCCGAGGACAGCACTCCGTCCCCGCCGTGACAGGCCTCCGGAGCAAGGTTCACTCACCCTGGCCGGAGGGTGGCTGGGTGTCCTTCTGTTTATCACAGCCTCCTGATTGGAGCCTGGGCCTGCCCGGTGGCAGGGGAGGCGGGGGGAGGTTAGGGGCAGGCGACCGCACTGAGGGCATGGTCACCCTGGCCTGTGTAGCGTGGGGAGGTCCTGGCCCGACCTCGTCCTTGTCAGGAACCGTGTCCGGGGGGCCTGCTGTGGGCACAGGAGCTCTTTGTTCTGAGAGAGAAAAAAACGTCATTGTATAGTTTTCAGACGTTTATGTCTAGCTCTGTTTTTGTTCTCACAACCACGATAAAAGCCAAGTATCATTTGCCCATCTTTTCTCTAGGACAGGTTTAGAGAGAGGTGGAGCGTTAGTCCATGGCTGTGTGTGGTGGACGCGGGGTTAGGACCCGGGGCTTTCTGCCCACGCTGGGTGGGAGGTGTGTGCACCACACGGGCCCCTGGGCCGATCTGCCAGCCAGGAACCTCCCCTCCCTGGAGTGGCAGGTGTGGGACATGGCCTGAGCTTCTCAGCTGACCGGGGCTCTGCAGCAGAGTCAGGCTCTGGAGGAAGAGGCCTGGGAACTGCTGGTGGGGTGAGTGCTTGTGCTGGGAGATGAGGGGGTTGTGCTGTGTTCCACGCGCCGAGCACACCTGATGCTTCCCACATATGACACCCTGGTCGCTTGGCTTGTTCGCTGCTCTGTCCAGCACGGAGAGGGGTGTCTGGCACACAGTAGGTGCTCAGTAAACACCAGTGGACTGAACGAATCGGTGATGTCCCAGAACGCTCCTGCTGGGCGCCCAGGCCAGGCTGGTCTTTCGCAGGGTGGTCAGTGTGATGTGCAGAGCCTGGTCCCTGGGCCTGGCTCACCTGGTCTCTGTGCTGCCCCGTCTCTGCACTGCTGGGCGTGTGGGGCGAGACTGGATTCCCCGCGCCTGGTGAGGGGAGATGGTCCGTGCGGGTGATGCACTGCGGCGTGGCCTGGCACTGCGCCCACCGCAGCAGTGAGGCCGGGGAAAGCAGGGCAGAGCCAGCATTCCCCCCATGACCTGCTGAACCCCTGTGGGTCTGAGTGGGCTCCTGGCTTGGCCCCTTGAACCCCACATCCCCTTTTCTTCCCAGGAAGAGGAGTCCGGCCAGTTTTCATTTCCAGGAAGAAACAAGAGGCCCACTGGGCTCAGGGCCTCTGGAGACCTCGGGCATTTTGGTTGCAGAATTCCTCGAGTGTCTGCAGCCTGAGCTGTGAGCTGGGGGCACCTGGACATTTGCATGTCGGCTTTCCTGGCCTTGGCCAGGTGGCCTGTCCTCCCAGTGCCTCATTTTACCTGCACCAGTTTCATCCTCATGACAAGCATGGCAGCGGGCCTCATCATGTAGACGAAACGAGGGGCGGAGAGGGTTGGTGGTGCCTTTGAGGGGGCCAGAGCCAGAGCCACCCCAGGAGGTCTGGCCAAAGGTCGGAGCTCTCGACGTGTGCCCGGCGGGAAGCCCAGAAACCACCACCTGATGGGGTAGCAAAGTGTTTCTGTAAAGGCTCAGATGGTGAGCACGTGGCCAGGCTTGCGGAGCCCTGGTTACTCGACAGGCTGGACTGTCCACCAGAGCACGTCTGGCACTTCAAGCACGGCGCCCCAGGCCGGGACGGGCGAGTCCTGAGGAGGTGGGCGCCCGTGGGGTGGCCTTGCCCACCTGGCTGGGTTCAGGTGGGGTCAGGCGCTCCCCTCCCTGGTCCCTGGTTCCTCATTCTTCCCAACATGAGGCCTGTGTGCCCATCACCTGAGGGACTCAATAAGAAGGTAGGTCAAGGGGCCTCACCCCTATCCCACTGAGCTGGGCAGGACCTGGGAACCTGCATTTTTGGAACATCCCTGCTGGTCCCCAGGCAGGGGTCATCTGCTGGGGCCTCAGCTGGAAGAGACACCCAGTCCTCAGGGTTGGGGACTATAGCCTCCAAATCCATGAGAGCTGTTGTGTTTGGAAACAGCCTCATGCAAGTTTCACTTTAGTGAAGTTGGTGATTGTGAAGGAGACCTGCTCAAAGATAAACACGAGGGTCTCCGTGAAATGCCTCTGGACAATTCGGGGAGGGCAGGCAGCCACTGGGGGCTTGGAGGAGGCTCAGTTGCTTGCTGTCAGTGGGGGAGCAGGTGTGCAGAGCATGAGGCCATGTGGTACCGTAAAGTTCGCACACCCAGAAAAGATCTGGGGACTTCCCTGGTGGTGCAGTGGTTAAGAATCCACCTGCCAATGCAGGGGACATGGGTTCGAGCCCTGGTCCGGGAAGATCCCACATGCCACGGAGCAACTAAGCCCGTGCGCCACAACTACTGAGCCTGCGCTCTAGAGCCCGTGAGCCACAACTACTGAGCCGGTGTGCCACAACTACTGAGCCTGCGCTCTAGAGCCCGTGAGCCACAACAACAGCCCACGTGCTGCAACTACTGAAGCTCGTGCGCCTAGAGCCCGTGCTCTGCAATAAGAGGAGCCACCGCAGTGAGAAGCCCACGCACCACAACAAAGAGTAGCTCCCGCTCGCCTCAACTAGAGAAAGCCTGCGCGCAGCAACGAAGACCCAATGCAGCCAAAAATAAATTTATAAAAAGAAAAGAAAAGATCCGGAAGGATATTCAGCACAGTGAGTGGCGGATGCTAACAGTTTATCTGCAATGAAGATGAAACGCTTGAGTGAGAGACGAACGTGTGGGGAAGCGGCACCGTCACCACGGGTGGACACGTCACCGGGGGTGGACACTCGCACCCCTGCTGCTGGCCTGGCGCACCCAGCCCCCGCGTGCTCTGCCCAGTGTGCCACCTTCTGTCATTCCCCCCATCCCCCGCCCCGTCTGCCTCTTTGACACTCAGTCTCTCTTTCTCTCCAGCTGCTCAGAATCTCCCTCAGGTTTCTCTCTGTCTCTCCATCCCTCAGTGTCTCTCTGTCTGTCAGTCTCCCTGTCTCCCTCTCTGTCTCCCCCGCCCCAAGAACCACAGGAGAATTTCCGGCTTTGGCGCGGGAAGACCGGGCACACACGGCGGCTTTATTTGCGGGGCAGGTGCTAGGGCAGCAGCGGGGCCCGGACGAGGCCCCCCGAGGGTGGTGGGGAGCCCATGAGACGGCGGAGCCAGGCCGTGTACTGGGAGACCCGGGTGTAGACGCCAAAGTGGCCGGCGGCTGCGCAGCCCTCGCCCCAGCTGACGACACCCGTCAGGTACCAGGTGCCCTGGAAGTGGGTGGCGTGCGGGCCCCCGCTGTCCCCCTTGCAGGCGTCCTTGCTGCCGTCCGTGTAGCCGGCGCAGAACATGTTGTCAGTGACGACGGGGCCGCCGGGCCTCCGGCGCGACAGCTGCCGGCAGTCCTGGGTCAGGAGCCGGGGCACGTGCACGGCCATGAGCCGGAGAGCCGTGGCGCCGCGCTCCAGGAGCTGGCCCCAGCCGCTGACGGCCGAGAAGCGCACGAAGGCCAGCGTCCGCTCCGCGAAGGCCCGCTCGGGCAGGCAGAGGGGCGCCACGTGGTCGCCGAGGGCCACGGGCCGCGCCAGGCGCAGCAGGGCCAGGTCGTGGTCCGTCTTGCCCCGGACGTACTTGTCGGGAATGATGACCTGAGCCACCTGCCTCTCCTGCTCGTCACCTTCGTCCTGGCTGAGGTCGTGCTCGCCTGCGGCGGGGGCGGGGGCGGACCGTCCACTCACTCCCCGCCTCGCCTCCCGGGCCAGTGTCTCCTGTCAGGAGGGGCCCTGCGTCCCCCGCCCCCGGTGGGCGAGCAGCCTCCTGAGGCTGCCGGGGGATCAGCGTGGGTGTGAGCCGGGGCGGATATGGCCACGAGGTGCTGGAGGCAGGTGAGGGGGTCGGGCAGGCAGCCGTGGCTGGGTGAGGAGAGGGTGCCCCATTCCCCTGGTTCTTCCAGAAGGGGCCTGGCCCTCCTGGGGTCCTCGTCGTCCCCTAAACCCACCGGGCAGCGCAGCCTTGGGTGGGGCACCCCTTCGGGGACCTTGGCGGGAGCAGCGTCACCCCAGGGCCGCATCTGGGTGGCAAAGAGGCTGAGGGGGGTGGCCACAGTGGCGCTGTGGGTATGGGGTCTGCCCAGACGCTGCCACTTCTCTTTGTGGGGAAGGTCACTGGTCGTGGAAGCCCCAAATCTTAGCCCCGCGATTGTCATTCAAGGATCGTCTCCCGGCAGAAGGAGGCGCCACGCAACCTACCCAGCACCACTGTCAGGTTCCTCCAGCTTCTGAGTCTGTCGAAACAGTGGGCTGCGGAGATCACCCAGACGGTGTCGAGCAGGGAGCCCCCGCACAGCAGCGCCCCATTCAGCTTCAGCATGGCCTGACAAGGGCACGGCAGGTGCTGGAAGCTCGCGTTCCCGTCGTGGCTGCCTGGGGGGCTCCCCTTTCCCATGCACCCCGGATGGGGGCTCCCCTTTCCCGTGCACCCCGGATGTGGGCTCCCCTTTCCCGTGCACCCCGGATGGGGGCTGCTCCCCTTTCCCGTGCACCCCGGATGGGGGCTGCTCCCCTTTCCCGTGCACCCCGGATGGGGGCTGCTTTACAGGCCGCTTCCATCCAGCTAAGGGAGTGGAAAACGTGGACGCTGGCCAGACGGTGGGCACGCCGGGGCTGGACTCCTCTGTGCATGCCCGGGATCGTCACCCAAGTTCGACCCAGTGCTCCTGGAGCCTTACCTGCCAGGGGCACTCCCCTTTGGGGCAGACGTGACCACCCACGATTCGGCCTTGGGGGTTGCTGTCGTTTCTTTTTTCCAGAACAGGCATTTTTCCGCACGGATATTCAACTGTGTAAAACAAATCCAGCGAGACGTGGGGATGTGTGGGGTGCTGGTGAGAAAGGCCAGGGGCCCTGCAGACGGGCGGCTGCGCCTCTGGTCCTGCCCGGGGCTGCGGCAGGCCCCTGCGGGAGCTGCCGGGGAAGCAGATGGCCCAGGGTCCTGGAGACTGGGTCCCGCGCATTTTCCAAGGGGGGAAGACGTGCAGCTTGAAGTCACTAAAGGTGTAAAGGATAAGCTGTGTAAGGTGACCGGCATCTCAGACAATCGGGCTGCTCTTCTGACCCGGCTCTAAGTTTTCCTTCCTGCTCCAGGAAAGCCCCAGGCCAGAAAAGAAAGCCTTTAGAGGCGGCAGCTGAGTTTCAGGCTTCCTAGACAAGGCTGGGTCCATCCACCTCTGGAGAGACGCAGGGCGGGGGGTGGGGTCAGCTTTGGGGGCTGCAGCCCCGTCGCCTTTAGGCTGGTTTGGAGACGTTTTCCATTTTCCCATAAGTGCTTGCCATTGAAGAGACTTGGAATCCAGAACCGTGCCTCCGTCAGTACAGACACTGGGTGTGACTGGGTGTGGTGCTGCGCGGGGAGCGGGGGTGGGCAGCGAGCGCCGCCTTCTGCACCGCCCCCCCCCCCCCCCCCCGGCTCCGGGGCTACGCCCCGCCCACCGTGGCCCCTCCCTGTTCTGGGGGCGGGGCGGCCGCCTCCACCCCAGCTTCCCCTCTGCCGCGACGCGCAGAGCGCGCCGGCAGTGCCTGGTAGATGCTCAGTGATGCTATGCTTCCCCCCACCCCATCTTGTAGCCAACGGGGGGACGTGTATCAGGACAATGAAACCACCAGCCCTAGACCTGGTCCCCGAGGACCTGTTACCTGTGGCCGTGCAGGACACCCCGTCCGCCTGGAGCGCGTACCCCTCGTGGCACCAGCAGGTGCGCCCAGCCTCCGCGTCATCCCTGCAGTACTGCTCACAGCCACCGTTGTCATTCGGGCAGATCAGCTGGCTCTTCTTGTCTGAGGGCAGAGGGCATGGCCAACAGGGGGCCCCGGTCAGGGCAAGCAGGCCTGGGCCAGGGGCTGTGTTCTGCACGAAGGTGGCACCCAGCTTCCGGCTCCAGGGACAGCCTGGCACCAGCCCACTCCGCAGACTGACCCAGAAGGGCACGACCTGGAGTTTGGGGCAGGGTCCCACGTCTGAGCAGCTTTGCCAGTGGGGATGCGGGGCTGGCACGCTGTGGCCTCCACAACGTCATCCCTCCCAGGCTGGGGAAAGCAGAGGCCCCTGGGGACGGTGGATGAGTCCGACTCAATCGGAGGCCTGCCCGCGAGCAGTCAGAGCCAGGAGGCTGGTCTGCAGCCAGGGCCTGGTGCCCCGGGGAGCTGCCTGGGCTGGTCGCTGGCCCAACCTGCCTCTGAAAAAGGGAGCTTTGTTGTGGACACGTGCTTGGCTTGCTCTGCAAGTCCAGGGCCTGTCCTGGAGGTGAATTCACACCAGGACCGCTGAGCACCCAAGCCCCAGGTGGCCGGCGGGGACCCTCCTCCCTGGCCGCTCCCCTCCCTCTTTGACCGTGGTCCTTTGAGACGAGCTAAGTGGCATCAGAATGTCCACAGGTGGGGAGGGATCCCAGGAAGTGACTGCCCCCCTCTGATGAAGTCGTCCACTTTAATTTGATCTGCCTGATAAGTGTGTTGTTTTCCTGGGGGCCTGGGGCCACCTGGCATCAGCGCGACCCCTGGAAGGGCTGGACACGGGGTCAGCCACATCCTTGTGCCTGAACCGCAGGGGGACCTCAGGACACCGGGGCTTGTGGGCGCGTCCCTGGCGGGTGAGTCTCTGTAAGTTCTGCCTCACATGGTCTCGGAGAACAGAACACCATCCACAGGGCTCCCGGGAAGAAGCCGCTGGGAGCTCACACCTGGCCCCTCGGCTGTTTGAACCCATATCCTTTCCGTGTGATAACTGTAACCGTGCCTGTGTCGGCCTTCAGAGCACGCTGACCTAGCAGATGACTGACGCTGAGGGTGGTCTGGGGAGCCCTGAGCTGTGTGATACTGTAATACTGGGCCTACCCTTGTAAGAGCAAGTAGGGAAGGCCGAGCTTCCCCAACCACCTTGCCATGGGGATGTGTGGAGCTGATGGAGATGCAGTGATTCCCCGGGCCCCTCCGGGTGCGTCAGAATTTCCCAGTGCCGGGAGCCCAGAAGGGGACAGGGCATCACAAGTGGAAGAATTAGCACCTGAGAACCCCAGATCCAAGACTCTCAGGTTGAGGCCCTTCCAGGTCACGGAGGCCAACCTCCCCCCAGGCCGTGCTCAGCAGCCCCCCCGGGGGCCCCGGGCGTCCTCACCCGTCTCACAGTTCCGGCCCTCGAAGCCATCCAGGCAGAAGCAGAGGTAGGACTGCAGCTGGTCCTCGCAGGAGCCCCCGTTCTGACAGGGCCTGGAGGCGCACTGGTCCCCGTCTGCGGGCAAGTCAGAGTTAGGATGCCGAGAGAGGGGCTGGCGGGTAGATCACGTCAGCCGGGCACGTACTCACCGTTGTAAGAAATCCAGAACTGATTCTGAGGGAGCAAAGAGGAAGGTGCGTGACGCAGGCGTGCGCCAGAGGCAGTGCGTATGGCCCCGCGGAAGGAGCTGGCGGGCTGGGGGGCTTCTGACCTGGCCCTCGTGATGGGCTCTGAAAGCCAGACTTTCTCCTCTGGAGACGAGGTGGGTGCATCCAGGGGAAGCGAGTTTTTTCCTAATATCCACCCGCCATTGCTAAGGCCACCAGAGGTCACAGGTTTCCTCTCCCAAGTCAGGATCCCCAGGCTTTAGCTGTGCCACATCCGAGCTGTGAACGCGGACAAGACACCCCCGCTCCCTGAGCCCCCAGTTCCTCCTCGGATGCTGCATCGACTGTCCAGTCACCCGCTGAGCGGGACAAGGTGGGAAAGGGACGCACGGGCGCTTTGCCGACCGCAGAGGCCCCGTCAGTAAAAGGGATTCCCCCCGGAATCTTTTGGCCAATGAAGTAAAACTCGCAGGGTTGTCGTGAGAATCAAAGCAGGCTTCACGACCACGGGGTGGCTGCCGCACGCCCGCTGGCCCCAGGCAAGCTCACCGTCCTCTCCTCGCTCTGGAAGATCTCCCGGGCCTCCTCGAAGGAGCAGAACTCCTCCCTGCACTCGCGCTCCAGGGATCCAGGCCACAGTTCCTCCAGCAACCAGTTGGCGCGCCGGGGCCTGTGCAGGACACTGTGGGCTTGCTCCTGGGAGACAAAGACTGGAGGGCGGGCCGTGAGACGCTGGACGCCCGGGGGGGCCCACAGCCTCCCGTTCCCTCACCCCGCCCTCCACAGGAAGTGTTCCCACCATCCCTTCCGCTAGGTAATGGGAGTCAGAGGGCTCCTGTCCACAGGCCTGGCTGAGTTTGCAATGGGAGCACTGCACAAGCTTTATGTGCCGGAGGAAGGCAACGTGCTCAGTGAGTCATCGCAGCACGTTCACGCCCTTGACCTGGTCCCTTCGCTTCTAGGAGTTATCCCAAGGAAATGCTCTGAGACCTGCAGAGCCCCAGCCATCAGGAAAGCTGGAGACAAATAATCTGAAGCATAAACGATGGTGCCCCATGATGCTTAAGAAGGTGCGATATTAAGTGAAAGAAGACAAGCAGGAAGGACCACGGCGGCACCAGCTCTGCCTCTCGGACCCCAGAGTCTGGCCGTGGGATCTGAGGGACGACGTGAGCCGGACTTTACGGGACAGTGTCGGTGCCCGGTTCCCACCTCGGCCGCCCCTCGGGGCTGGAGAGTCACGATGACAGCTCACAGAGCCGTCCCCGTGTTACCGGCTCAGGCCTCCCAGCGTCTGCGAGGACGGGATGCAGGGGTCACAGGCATGGTGGCAGATCATCACGGTCTGGCATCCCCACACCGTCCCTCGCACCAGCCCCCCACCAAGAGGCCGAGAGAGCAGAGTGAGAGAGGCACCCCTGAGCCCCAGATCCTGTGCCAGGGGGTGGGTGGGGGTGTTGGTGGCAGGCGGGGGGCGCCCACTGTGGCCGGGGGACGCCACGGCTCCCAAAAGTCTGGAAAATCATTCCCCGAAGCCTTTCCTCCAAGTGCTGGGCGAGGCCCTGGGCACCGTTTGCCTTTCGGAAGGAGAGCAGATCAGAGCAGAGCTGCCAGCAAACGGGAGCGCCCAGCACATGGGCCGGCTTTGGGGGTCGGCTGCCCTTCTGCTGGGTGAATGGGGAAACCTCCCTCGCGTACCTGCCATCAGGGACCCCCGCAGGCCCAGCAGAAGGCAGAGGAGGGCCAGCCCCCGGAGCCGAGGAGCCATGGCGAGGCCCTGGGTCGCTTCGTCTGTTGACTTTCCAGGTGGGGAGGCGGGCAAAGTTCTCCAAGAGCCCGAGAGGGTGGGGGAGGGAGGCCTCGCCTCCCAAGCACACGGGCGTGCAGTCCCCCGCCCAGTGCCTGCTGACCGGACAGACGGGCCGGCCCAGGGCACGGGCCTGGGGATTCAGGCTCCTTGTCCGAGAGGAGACTCGGGCGTCGGGATGCGTGTCCGGTGGCGTGCGCAGCTCAAATGCGGCTCAGAAGCCTGCAGCCCGAGGACCTAGGACGGCAAGCTGGGAAACAGAACTAAAGTGCGGGTGGAGAGCCGTCCCCGCAGTGATGGTACTGGTAAAGGGGAGCAGGTTTGGGGCGTGAATGTGAATATCTTGTCACAGGGGAGGCCTGGTTTCTCAGCCGAAGGGCCCCTCTGGGAGCGCGAGGGGGAGGGGCGCGCGCCCCCCGCGGAGCCCCTGCCCCCGTCTCAGCCCTGGGGCGCCCGGGTCTTGTCCCTCATGCCCTCCTGGGCCCAGGCCACCAGCTGAGGTGACCAGCTATCCTGGCCGCCAGGCACGAAAGGGTTTCTCAGGACGCTGGACTTTCCAGACTTAACTGGTACTGTCCTGGGCCCGTTGGGCTGGCGGTCACCCTGCAAGCCTCACTCAGGCGTCCAGCCTCCTCTAGAAGTAGCCTCCTCTCCATAAACGGGTGGAGGCTGGGGACACCAGCTCTGCGCATTTATCTTCAGAGGGGGAGCAGGGAGACCCAGCTGTTCCAGGCGGGTCCGGCGCTACTCCGTCCCCAGATGGAAGGCAGTCCTTAGAGGACAACATTTTATTTATCACCTCTGGAATTTCTATTTGTCACTGTCAACAATTGTTTAGGAATTCAGTGATACAGGAATTTATTTGGGGAGGGGGGGGGGGGGGGGGGGGAGGGGAGGGGAGGGACTCTCACGCCCTTCGTGGCACTGCCTGGGCCCAGTGGGTGCAGCAGCTCTGGAGTCAGACCCCCCGGCAGGGTGCTGTCAGGGTCCGTCTCCTCCCAGCTTGGGGAGGAAGGGGCTCATTCCTTTGAGCCTCACTTTCTTTGCGGGGCAGCGGGGCTGCTTGTCCTGCCGAGAGCCTGGGGGTGTGCACTGTCCTGCGAGGGCTCCAGGAGCGCCACCTGCCACCCCTGCCGGGTGCGGCCACTGCCCGGGGCTTCCTCCGGCCCCAGGGCTGCGCACCTTCTCAGACCGAGTGCAGCGCAGTCACTGCTCACTGACTCAGTGCTCCTTTCCAGCCGCCTGACCCAGCACCGCCCCCAGGGGCTCCAGCGACAGGAATCTATCCAGTCCCAGGCCTGGGCAGGTGTCCCAGGGCCAAGCTCCCTCCAGAGGCTCTGTGGAGGGTCCTTCCAGCCTCTTCCAGCTCCTGGGGCTCTGGTGGCCCTTGGTACCCCTGACATGCTGAGCCAGCCCTCCAGCTCCCGCCTGGTGTGTGTGTCCAAATTTCCTGCTCCTTATAAGGACATCAGTCATTGGACTAGGGGCCACCATGACCCCATCTTAACCAACTGCACCTGCAGTGACCCTATATCCAAGCAGGATCACCTTCTGGGGTCCAGGTGGACAGGGATCCTAGGGGGTGCTCTCAGCCCGGTGCCCCTGGCTTCCCTCGAATGGAGCTGAGCTGCACCTGTGTTTGGAGCCACGTGAGGGGCATCCTGACCACAGGCCCAGTAGGGACAAGGCTCGGGGGTGAAGAAAAGACTCTGCTCCTTCTAGGGCTTCTCAGAGCATCACCACTGAACCAGGTTTCCGCAGACAAATGACCTGCCTGGCACAGGGCATCAGCGTGAATTAGGGCAATGCGAAGGACAGAGGCCCTCAGGTCCGGGGTGACGGGGTCCCCGCAGAGGTGGAGGGGACGCTGCAGGCCAGTGGGGACCTGGCTTCGAGGAGCCACTACGCCCACTGACACTTGTGCTATTTCTCCCAGATGGCCGAGCACAGGTACAGAGTTCACCCTATCTTATTCCTGCAGGAGAAGCCCTGACAGAGGGGGAGGGGAGGGGCTCAGGGGTCAGGAGGCCCCACTCGCCCTGGGCCCCTCCGGCGCACGCTGGCATCTGGGGGGGGGGGGCGTTCCAGTGAGGGCCACCCAGTTCCAGATCCTGTGCCTTTACAGAGGACGGCCGACAGCCAGAGGTGCTGGTGTTTATTCAAACACCAGCCATACAATAAAGAACTCGGATTTTTAAATTTCACTTACATCAGCAGTTAAAACAAAAAAGGAACCGTGACTGAAACATGAGGTTTTAAAGTGCTTTTATGAGGAAGAGATCACAAAAATGGTGGCCAATCCCAGGCTGGGAACGGCAGGAACGGTGCCTGAACAGTCAATATATTCAGTAAATTATGTGAAGCATCATTTTGCAAATAACTTATACACCAGGAGAAAAGCTGCCGAGCTTGTACGCCGTCCACTACACACTCCAGAGAGGCCTGGCCCTGCACAAGGACAGGGAGCCCGTGGGCTGGGCTGCAGGGGCCTGGGGCTCGGGGGGCTGTAGAGCGACACATCGCCAGCAGCTTGGAGGCTATAAATACACCCCTCACAGTGGGGACGTATGTACACACATCGACATATATACACACATACAAAAACGTCTGCCCCAATCAGACCCAGAAAGAAGCGTTTCCAAGGAACAGAATTTGTTTCTGAAACACAAAACACAGTAAAACAGAAGAGTTTTCTTTCCAGTTCTGCCTTGATTTGAATAAGATAAACTCTGCTGTGCTCAGGACAGCTCCACACAGGACATGCCAGGCCGGCGGCGGGGGGGGGGGGGGGGGGGGGGGGGGGGGG